AATCTTCATGTTATCTCTCTAAACAATATGCATACATATAAGGCAGATGTTCAAGGTAAAGAATCTATAGATTATCAACATTAGACTCAATATTCTTTATAATGGTTTATAAAGTTGTTCTTGCTTTTGGTTACTTGCTTTTCTTTAATTTATTCTGTTTTCAGAAGAGTGAGCTCATAAATTGTTACTGATAGAAAATGGAATATTTATATTTATTAAGTAATGGAAGATGGGATTATTTTTATTCACTCCTTCCTTCTTTAATCTTCACAAACCACTTTGTCTTTTTAAATTTTTTTTATTGAATGCCATCAATGAATAAGATGATTCCTTTTAGTTCTAGTTCAGTGAAAAATGAAGGCTGAGTTCTCTCCATCCAGACATTTTAAACTATGCAACAGAAATCCATGAAGAGGAATTAAAAAAAATAAAGGATAGTAATGTGTCTGTAATTGAAACAAACATGTCACAGGAGGTGCCACTAGGCAGGATTTGGCAGGGAACTCATCTAACTCAAGTGTCTATAAATGCATGTCAATACCCCAGCTGTATTTTGTGAGCTATGCTGCACTGCCCAGCACTCCAGCGTGCAGCATCTGCCTCTGTGGGGTGTGTGCAGAGCACAGCAAATGATCAGATGATCTGCAGGGCTGCAGTGCCATCTGCTGATGCACCAATTTGCTGCAGCGTCCAACTGCAAATATACAGGGCAGCCTTGTCATTTATAACACATAAATACCCCTAAAATAGCACTTGGTGGATGGGTTGGGGTTTTTGTTTGCTGAGGAAGCAGAACTTCTGGGTAGGAAATACACTAAGTATCTTTAGCTCCTTTCTTGACATCTCACGTCTTTATAAATCAAAACCAAAGTTCCTACATTCCTGCCTTATTTTGAAAATTGTATCTAGACTCCTGTATTTTTTTGGACACTTTCAGTTCTTCTGCCCTGAGATCTTGATGCAGTCCAAGCATGTAGGCAGTTGATAAAGCTTGAGGGACATAGTTCCTTCATTTGGTCAGTAAAAATCCCTTGTTCCAAACCAAACTGATCTAAGTGCCTATCAGGGTAGCCAGCCTTACCTCCAGTACCTCCGTGCATCCATTCACAGGGAAACCACATGGAGCATCAGCCCCCAGGCAGGCTTCTCAAGCCTGTTCCCTTATGTTCAGTGTTTTGCTTCCTCTACAAATGTCCCCAAGGGAAAGACATCCCCTATGGTTCTACAGATGAGCTGTTACCTCTGTGAAGAAGAGGCACTGATGCAGCACAGTAATGTGTGCTTCTGCTGCCTGCACAGGTCAGTGCGGCAGTGAAGTCAGCCACAGGGAAGGAGGATGTAGCCCATGCTGCAGCTGTAGGGCTGGGGAGTTAGTGGTGCTGGCTGACTTTAAGTTGATGCAAGCCCTCATCATGCCAGCCAGGATGAGGGCTTTTGCTGTGTTGCCTCACACCAAATAACTATCTTTCTAGTTTGCTCTTGATTTGCAAAAACAATAAAAAGAGGTCTTGAGGTCGTTTGCATTTCAGATAGAGTCATGACTCGGGCTGCTAATTGATTGGAGATTAACTTGTACACAAACATTTGCTTTTATGCTCTGAAAAATACAGTCAATTTAGACTGGTTTGTTCTCATGCCAGGATGTGCTTCTGTCCTGTTCCTACACCAAGCTTGGCTATTGACACTCCTTTTTTGTGTCATTATCAGTACTACCAGTGATTTGAACTGCTCAGAGATTAATGTTTATGCTTTCTTTCCACCCCTGCTTGTCTGAGTAAAACAATTCTATTATCTCTCCCTCCAGCCCTACCTGAAACTAAATTTCAGAACAAGAAATAACCTAATCTTCCACTTTTATGTATTCTTTGTTGGAATTGGAGTTTATCAGAACATCGGTACTCCTTGATCATTTCAGTCTCTCCAGATACAAGAACTACAGAGACCTGCAAATGTAGTAGTGAAGAGTGCAAGTTCAATAGCATCTCCCTTTTTCAGGGTCTAAATGTAGGGGTGCAGCCAAGCTATTTTATCATGCCATTACTTTTCTCTCCTTGAGCCTTCTGTGACATTGAACCATCCTCAGTGAGAAGAGGTAGTACATCTAGCAGAGCAGTCCAAGACAGATTTTATCAAAAATTCACACAAAGTGTAGAAAAATAATGAGGATGGCCTCAAGCTAAGCTTTGGAGGCACCACAAGCCTTACTACTTGCTATATTCAACTGGATTTCCTGGGAAAATTTCTTAGCAGTAGTTCCTGCCTAATACCAACTTCCTGCTCCACAGAGACCTTGCAAACTGTGGAGAGCAACCTTCCTCTGATCTGACCCAAAAGGTTTAGCACACAACTTTAAAAAATCAGCTTTTCACTAGATAAGCTTGTTTGGTTGAGTTTATTTCAGATCCTAGGCTACTACACCACATGGGACTGTGTCCACTTTCTTTTCTCTGCTTCCTTGTTTTTCAGTTCCTTTCATCCTTCAGGCTGTTCATCTTCTCCTTTTTAAATCCTTCAAGCTGTTGTGTCTCTCCTTGTCCCTCTGAAGGCTTATCTGCCCGATAGTGTCGATGTACCTGAGCTGGCTTTAAATTGCTCAGGCACTGCTGGCCACAGCTTTGCTGCCAAAGCATCGGCCTGGGAGCGGGAGTGCCCAGCTACTTCAGGAGGTTTTGCAGCCTCTGCCAAGTTCTGCCTTATCAGGGTTAAGCTGCTGGCAGGTCTTAGGTGAGTTGAGAGCAAAGAACAGATGCTGCCATCACTGTGATGGCATCACTTTGCTGCGATGTTTATGAAATGGTGAGAAGGCACACAAGAAGCTGCCATTTAAACAAAACAGGAAAGCTGTCAAACATAAAGATAGCTCTCATTACTGGAGTCTCAGTTATCGTTTTACAGACTAAAGTTCTTCCTGGTATTCTTCTTCTTAAAGATCCAGTTCTTTGAGTAATAAGGGAAAATAGATACTACTGATTGAACTGTAGGCTATTTCTTCTTCTGGGTCTTCAGCATCTCTTATCTCTCTTGTTTGCTATATGCACATGGAAGAAGAATGCGCCCTGAGAGAATATTCATGGACAGCCACAACAACTGGCTGCTTCCAGTACATAACAACTTTAACACAAAGATTTCAAAAGATGCAGCAGACACCAGAACTAATTTATTGAAAGCGTGGCAAGTTTGGTGGTTCTAGCTTTACAATGAATGAAGTGAACCACAGCACAGTTAACACTCAGCAGAGTTCAGGTGGCAAATTTGTGGCAGAATTGTTTATATTGTCCACATATACTGCCAGGATGAAATCAAAGTTCATGAGCAAATTCCCTATAGTGAAACAATTTATGTACCTGTATGCATTGCATTAAATTATTTTATTTAATTTTATTACTTTTTCGTGGTTAAGAAGGATTCAGATGATCTTGATCAGTGAAAGATCTAGTTCAAGGTTTGGAACAGACTAAATACACACTTGAATATGGCTGACTTGGAAAAGTGATGCACCTGAAAGATTCCCTATAGTAAAATTACTTCAAACTTGTTGTGAATAGTTTATATCACTAAATTTGTCCAGTGCATCATATTAGGATCTATGTCTTTGTATGGACAAGATTAACAAAGTGGTAGTTATAGAAAATATAAAAAAATATCTAGTGCAGTAATCTTGGCTGTTCTTCATCAATTCAGAAGCCAAACTAAACCCCTGTGCTTAATTGAGTTTCCTTTTACTGCTGAGCCAAGGATACAGGAAGATTTGCAGTTAATTAAATCTTCTGGCATGGTACATGGGTCCCACAGAGGAGCATTTCAGAGGAGAGGAGGTGCAGCCAGAAAGTGGTATAAGTGTGGCTTTCAAGCCAGCAGGACTCCCAGCAATGCTTATGCTGTCCTGGGAATTTAAGGGACTTGAAAATAGCTGAAAGGCAAGTTCTCCTTTACCTCACCTGCACCAGTGCAAACCAGACCTCTGATACAGGCAAAGACTTGCCCTTTTGAGACTAGCAGATTAAGTTAATTATTTGTAATTTGATCACTAAAAATGTACAAGGATTTGAGAGTGCCAACTTGACCTGTGCAAAGCAGCTGAGCCACTTGAAAACCTGGCATATATGGTCTTCTACTGACTCTGCTGGAAAGGCAACTTGATTTGAGCTCTGAGAGCCTTGTTTCTACCACTATACATCTGTGATTTGATATGCAAGTGTGAGTTCTGCTGAAATCAGCAGGACACTGACAGGACTAAAAGCTTTTCAAAACGGGACAAATTTAAATGTGTCTTCTGTAACTGTCTGACTTCTCTGTGCCTAGGTCAAAACTAAAATGTCTGATCTGTTTATGTGGTACTGAAGGCATGTCCCTTCCCCCTCAGTAGCAGTCAGGCTGATTAACAATTACAACAGTATTTTATCTTGTTATGCCTTGAAATGTGACCCTCCTAGAACTAAACAGATGTGCAATTGTAGGCTAAGTTGACTTCATTAGTAAGACAGAATAAAACTGCTCAGCATATTGGGTGTTATGTATGTATGTCCTAGCAAACAGAATTCTGCATTAAAATCAGTTGAGTTACATATCTCTTTCTGGGGAACAGGCTGTTTGTTTGCTTTTTTTTCAGTTTTTAACTTCTGCAAATTGTTACACCAGATGGCCTGTTGAGCCAACAATAGATCATCATGTCTCACCACAATGGGATCTCTTTCTGGCTAACTTGAGTCAAAGCAGTTCGATATCAGTCCTCACCAAGCACATTCCCAACAACTTCACCTTAATTATTTCTCTCCACCTGGTCCATGGTAGTATAAACGATTCCCTGCCTCTTTGCATAGCATCAGAAATGCACATAAATAAGCAATTTAATGCTGAATTCTTTTGAATACATTAAATCCCATTTGTGATGTTAGCAGATCCCACACTTCCATGGGTAACTGAATACTAATTATGGTAAAGAGCTGAACAATTAACTTCTTCTGTTTTTAAATTTCACTCTCTGATTTTTAATCCCACAGAGGTCTCAGTCTGCATTCTCCCTGGCTAGTGAAGATATGGCCAATAAAGGACAAGACCCTGCATCATCTGTGGCCGAGGCTCTTGGGAGGCAGCAAAAGGGACAGTCCAGGAAGCAGAAGGAACGCAAGCACTCTGCTTTACCCAGCTGGAAGAGTGTAGACAGGCTAAATGAAACAAGTAAATATTTCTAGTACGAATAAGATTCTTTTTTTGGTTCTCACTCATGTGTGGAATAAATACAACTTAAAGCAAGGACCTTCTCTAGGGCATTTCTGCTGACCTTTGTGCTTTCAGAGGTCACATGTAAAATGTATATTCGATGCTGCCATGTCACAATTTCATTGGGCTATGTCATTGCTTATCTTAACTTTCTTTAAAAAAAAGTATTCAAAATTTGAGTCTTTGTGAAGTTGATTTTAGACTGCTGCAAAATTTAGACAACTGGTTTGGATACATTTCAGAGCTTCTAAGACACAAGAGCTCAAGGGCCTTTCTTTGTCATTGGTAACCTGTCCTCCAGTTGAAGGAGTTTGCAGCCCCTTGTATCCCTTCCATGACACAGGGTAACTGTTCATGAGCTTTTGTGGTGAGCCAGTCATTAAAATAATTCACATTTAGAATTTCTCCTTACGACTTTATTTTCAACTCTGATGGATTCACAAATGCAGTATTCTGTGCAGCCCTACTCACTTGTGCTTCCAGACTTGTCTCAGGAAGCTGTATGTGTAGGAACTCCACAGACCAGCAGCTTCCCTGGATCTGACTGCTGTCACCATGCATTAGGTATGGATGTAAATATGGATGATGGATGGTGAGCAGCTTTCCAAGTCAGCTCCATTCCTGAATCAGCACCCTGGGATAGAGTGCAATTCCCTGCTTACTTCTAGATGACATAAAAACAGGTTGTAACTGTAGAAGATATCAATGTGTATAAGTATCTGAAGGGAGGGTGTCAGAGTACGGATCCAGGCTCTGCTCAGTGGTGCCAAGCAATAGGACAAGAAACAACAGGCAGAAACTGATGCACAGAAAGTTCCATCTGGATATGAGAAAGAACTTCTTCACTGTGCAGGTGACCAAGTGCTGGAACAGGTTGCCCAGAGATGCTGTGAAGTCCCCTTCACTGAAGATATTCAAGAACCTGGATGCAATCCTGTGCCATGTGCAGGTTGGTTGGACCAGCTGACCCACTGTGGTCCCTTCCAACCTAACCCTTTCTGTGCTACTGCAGTTGTGGCTCCTGCTCTTGGGGTGCTCCCATTTCCGTTGCCTCTCTTGTTCTGGCTGAAGCATTTGCAAGGCCACAAGAGTGTAGCACCAGGCAACTCCCTCACCCTAGTGTTGGTTAGTTTTTACCCCTACAGTTGCACAAAGGGGAAGAGCTGAACTCATTGCAGTAGCATTCCCTGTATCCAAGTGTTGTCATCCCATGGCAGAATCTGCCTGTTCTTGCTTCTTCTCTTGTAGCAGCTGTAGAGCCCATCTGACCCCTGTAGCACACTGGTTCATGAAGCTGCACAAGTAGAAAATTTCTTTTGTGGGGTGAGTTCACTGGTGCTGTAGCTCCCACAGCTGCCTCACTAGGCACTGGCAGGCACAAACAGTTACAGTGTGTGTTTGGGTTTGATGGTGACCAGGGACCAGAGCTGCCATGTGTTCAATTTGTTTATCTGTAATGCCAGTTGATAAATGGGGAGACTGAAATTTAGACAATTTCAGTGCTTCTCCTCCCCCGTGAAAGAAATTAATATTAAAGTAGCACTAAAATCTAACTTAACCAAGTATGCATTACTCTGTGAATTTCTTAACCAGCCCACTGTCAGACGTGTTTTTCTCCTGGGCATTTTAGTGGAAGGCCTATTTTCAGTAAAGCAGTTAATTTGCTCCTAAAATTTAAGCACCCACTTGAATCCCATTTCATTCAACTGTTGAGCAATTTAGTATTTAACAATTGCTTAACCACAGAAGAACGACAAATTGACCCAGGTTTTTTTGGGCAGTCTATGCAGAGGATTTGTTCTGCTTCTTTCATCTAAAAACCACATTTGTGATTAAAGTGTGGTGCCTATTGAGCTAATAGTAAGTAGCTGACTGTGCTAATAATATCTGTAAAAAATGGTCTCACCTATGCAGTATTAAGCAGCTTTGTATTATGATACAGAAAACAAGAGAAATCTCAACGAAGAGTTTGGTGTGGTAACATCAATGGGCCTTTTAGGCATGTAGCCAAAAAGTAGTTCACAATTCATTTTGGTTGCAGTTCATATTGGTTTAAATGGTGACTCAAGAGCCTTTATCAATAGTCTTAAAATGAAACTTCTTAAATCTTTTTTTCCTTTTCACATGAATGAATTATAGCTTATGCCCAAAGAATTGTGTGAAAAAAAAACATTCTTTCAAGTGATTTCATTTTGGAAAATCGGGAAGGGAGCACTTGACATTGTAGAATAAAAGTGGGATAAAGCTGAGTCAGCTTTCTGAATATAGAGGTCTCGGTTGCTTTCTACCCTGTTTGTCCTCTAAGATGTAATCAACTAGTATCCTGTCCTTTCTTCAGTTAATTGAGGTTGGTAGACTGATTCTCATGTGGTGTTGTTAAATAGAATAAGGGAATATGGTTTGGGGGAGAAAAAAAGTTTGTGGCTCTCCATTACCTTTGTGCAATATGGTGCAGCTGAATTCAATTCCTGTTGGAGATTTATATCCTGCAGAGCTGTTGGCTTTGTTTGAAGGAACAATGTTTTAAGGAAAGTTCTTTCCCTCAGAGGAAGTTCTTTCTCTCAGGAGAACCCTGTACTTAGATTAGTTAGTATAGTTAAGAAAAGTAAACAAGCAGGAGTTTCTTGTGCTTGATAGCTTGTTTGTTTTTTTGGTTTTTTTCTCCAAAATCGGGGGTTACTATAAAGAATTATTAGTTCTCCTTACACACCTGACTTCAGTTATATCCTTGCTTGGTCAGTGCCTCTAGAGAGCTAGTATGATTTTGCTTTTCTTTTAAGCAGGAGTAAGAATTGTATTTTCTCAAGTTCTCTAAATTGACTTAAAACTTAGGAAATGAAAGCAAGCCAAAAGGATTCAAATGAGTAAGAAATGCAAAAGTTGTCATAAAACTCTCATAGCTCCTAAGTTTAATTACAATTTAATTTTTGTTTTGTTTTTTGTGGGGGTGTTTTGGTGGTGGTAGTGCACCTCAGACTTTGTTTTTTTTAAACTAAGCACAGCTTACTGCATATTAATGTTCTTTATGAACAGCTCCAGGGAAAAAGTAATCTTCCTTTCATCCTAGTATTTGTAACCATCTAATGCAAAATGCCTAATTATATTCTACAAGAGACCCAGATATTACTGTGTCCATTTGAAAATAGTGATGTTCAGCTTACATTATGAGAAAACTAATGGTTTGTTTTAAGTATTACTATAGGTTTCTGAAAATAACAAATTTGAAGGGAGGAATCCTTTAGTCTGAAAAGTTCATTAAGTAGGCTAGATTACTGTGTAAATCCATGGCATTATATATTTTTCAAGTGCTGCAGAAGGCAGAATCATTGCACATCCATATGTCCCATGCAGGGAATTTTCAATTTTGATTGGAAATTAAATCTAAATTTAGAAGAAATAGAATTCTCCGAGTTATGAGAGTTAAAGAGCACTTTGTGCTTTTTTGGTTTTTGTGTTGGGATTGTAAAACATACTCTGAAAATGTGGAAGGACACAAGAGCAGCAGTGCTTGTGTCAGAATCAGCACATTTGGTATTTAGTCTGGGGTAGAGCAGCCATAAGCAAGAGTCTAGGAGAGATTAGGACAAAGAAAGTATTTTTCATACTGCTGCTGAGTAGGCTCTGAACCTCTAGAACTATCAATTTAATTACTATCTCAGCTATTTCTGTATTTAGTAAATTTTAGTAGATCTCTCCTCCATGTTCATAGCCATCTCTGTTTTATCACAGATCATTTCAAGCATCCACAACAACCTTGGGCAAGAAGCTCCATAGGTCTGGTATCCATTGCATCACACTACTTTATTTTGTTTGTTTAAAACCTTGATTTCTCTAGCTTCACTTCATGCCCTCTAGTAGCTAGGTTGGAATAGATTCCCCCATCTCTTTTAGGTTATATTCTCTCAGTCTTCTGTCCTCCAGATGGCAGAGCTCTGGCTTACTTAATCATTCCTTGAATGGACACCATTTCAGAACCTGGTACAACCTCTGTTGCTCTTCTCTGATTCTTTTTCCATCTCTCATTTTCAATGTGGGGGACCAGAATTGCACACCAGAATGAAAGACATTTGAAAAACTCAGGATTTATGCATGCCTGTGTGCTTATGTTCCATCAGTCTTTCCTAATCATTCTTTTAGAAAAAAACTTTGGTCCAAGTACTCTTCCATTTTAGTCATCACCATGACTTAAAGTGGTGGCTTCCAAGTAGTAGGGCAGCTTGGCTCTCAATATGGGAGAGTTCACGTGGCAGCAGCACTTGCACTTGTTTGTTGGTTTTGTTGAAACTTTCAATCTGTGGCAAGTAAAAGCAGCCATTCACAGTGTAATCACAGCTGTTCTCATTTCCTTTCCATAGGTCCGCCTTCTGTTTTCCAAAGCACCGATGGAAACTGGGTAGCTTTGCAGAACGTCACCCTGCCTCGTCCTCGAATGCTGGCCAAACCAAAGAGTCAGGTGTTCAAAGCTTTGGAGAACGAGTCCAGCATTGTGTCTGCCTATGACGAGATGGGCTCGGACAGCGAGGATGACTATGACTGGAACGTGGCCTTGAACAAGCTGCGGCGGAGACCCCGGCAATTGCCAGACGACTTCTATTACTCCAATTCCCAGTATGGCACCGAGTGGGTTTATGGCAACAATCAGTACCAGGCAGTGACCTCCCCCTCCTCTGGCTTATACACCAACACTGAGACACTGTTCTCTGATTCGGAAACATCTTCAGTAAACTCTTCCCAGGAAGCTAAAGGACCTAGCAAACTTCTCTGGTTGCAGAGCAGAACTCAAAGTGAAATGCCCAGAATGGAAAAGAAGCACTTCCATGGAGAACTAGATGTGAACTTCAATCCACAGGCAACTAGCTTGGAGTATTCAGACAGCAGTGAGACTGAAGGAGTACATTACGATTTAGAAAAGAGATCAAGAAGGTGGAAGAAGAACAAAGCCATCTCTGAAGACTTATGTGAAGAAAAGAATCAGGCAAAAGCCAACAAGATGAATTTAAGTCAGGTAATTGTGTTCAAGCTTACCACATGCATTTTCAAAAAGAGCTGGGCAAAACTAATTAATCCAGGCTGGCAATATCATGTGAATCGTGAGTGGGAGATGAAGTGTTCTTGCAAGCTTTATCTTCCTTATGTCTCCTAAGTAAGAAGAAGAAAAAGCAGGGTGTTAGACAGGCTTTACCTTTTTCTCAAATAGGCCACTTTCATCCAATCAAAGACTTCATTAATGTTGTAAAATACAGTGCTCTTAAGAAAAAAACCCTCAAGATTTGTCAACAGCTGAGAAATGTTAATTAATCACTTGTTTTGTTGTGCTGGGTTTTTTTTTAACTTCTGTTTTCTTGATATAAGAAATAACTCATATGCCTGGGAATCTGCTCTGCAGTGTCTACAAATAATCTGGTAAGGAATAAAGCTAATGAGCAGCAGAAATTCAAAAAGGGCTTTTTGTGAAATCCAGTCCAAGTGACATCTGTTTTTAATTGGTCATCTTAAGATGAGTTCTGATGTGATAGGGGGAGTGTTTGCAAACTACTTCCATTTAAATAATTTGTCAGTTCATTAAGAAAACAAACAAAAACCCAAAGAAACAAGCAAAAACCCCAGACTCTACTATCTCAAACTCCAAAAAATTGTTCATACAGCTTGAAGACAGCAAACATATGATTTAAATTACAGGTGTTAACCAGAAAGGTGAATAATTACAGGTGGATAACCAGGAAGCCAAGTCTCCTCTATTTGGAGTTTGTCCAGACCTGGGACTGATATTAAGGGATCCATTTGTTCCCCAGAATTTTGTTAGCAGTGCAAGCACACAAGCTCAGGAGAATATTGACCCCTTGTCCAGTTCCATTTCCCACATCCTACCCCTCTTAAATTCTGAAGCTGCATCATTGCTGCAGCAGAGTAATAATAAGCCTGAAGCAAGGAACTGAGGGCTGGCTTCTCCCTGTGCCTTTGATTGTGAGCAGCCTGATTCAGTCTTAAAGCTGTCCGACCAAATTTAGGATGCCTGGAACAGTTTTTCTTTCCTTGTGCTACTAGCCTTTATTTCCTATAGAAAAACATCAGTACACCTGATTGTAAGTCAGTATTAGGATTCTAGATTTCAGCAGGGTTTTAATGCTGGATGTCATTAATTCTGGACCCATTCCATCTGCTTTTAGGACAGAGTGTGGGTGTTCGGGGTGTTCTGTACTGATTCATTCACACTTGTGTCCTCATATAAAATCAACAGTTCTCGAAGGGAAGTATGATGTAATATAATGTGATCTGATGACACATCAGTGGCCATTATTGACTTCCTGGAACATCAGACAGAATTACAAGGCTTTACAGGGACTGCACGAAGATTATATCTTGTACACAGACTTCTGCATTTAGCTTTATGGCTTTGTTTTCTTTCTTTCGTGACCTCTGTGTGTCTGTATTCATATTGTGGCTTCCTAGTCACAATAGACAATACGCAGTGCATGGAAGACCAGAGCTCACAGAGAAAGTCCTGGAGACTTTATAGAATCATAGACTAATTTAGATTGGAAACACTTTTAAGATCAAGTCCAGCTGTTAACCCTGCACTGTAGGGTTGACCACTAAAAGTTGTCCCTAAGTGCCATGACTACATGTCTTTTAAATACCTCCAGGAATGGTGAATCAACCATTTCCCTGGGCAGCCTGTTCTGGTGCTGGATAATCCTTTCTGCAAAGAAATTTTTCATAATATCCAATCTAAACCCCCCCCCCCTCGTCCAGGTGAGGTCAGAAAGTCAGGGTGCTTCCCAAATATCTGTGTTGGCATCCTTTAGAATCTTAGTGTGTGCTTCAAACTGCAAGCTGGTATGGAAAATTATATTCTTCTTTCCCAAGTCTTTTGTGAGTTGCTTTGTCTCTTATAACCTCTCTGATGTGCTGAAAGTGCAAGATTCAGGATTCTAACCCACTCTCCCCTTCATTTTACCCTTGAGGCTAAAAGAGGTTGTTCCTGCTCCCCTGCTTCCTCAGCCTCCTTGGCAAGCAGAGGCACAGTGCCTCCAGATCATGCCACTGTTTCCAAAGCAATGAAATTCTCACTAGGAAGTTTATGTATGGGTGGGTTTGCATGTGTTTAGTTTGTGTTTGGACACACACACACAGAGGTGGCTGATTTGACAGCTGGTGCTCACATTTGTAGAACTTTTACTCCAGCCTCTGGCAAACAAGCATTGCTGGCACCAGGAATGGACTGTCTACCACAATTTAGAGCAAGAATGTTGCATGGTTGAACAATTCTAGGAAGCAAGTAAAATTGCCATGTGTGTGAGGAACTTGATTTAATGTATGAAAATGAATTAGCCAGACATCATTTACAGTGCTCAGGTAAATGAGATTAAAGGGATGTCAGAGTTTCATATATTCCCCAGAATTATGTATTGATCTTGGTAAAATGATTGATTTGAGGCTGCAGCAGGGAGAGCCCTACATATAAACAGTTTTACAAAATTATAGTGTCAGTGTGTGAAGAACTGCAGTCAGCATAGACTTAAGAAAGATTGACTGCAGGGTCTTAAACCAGGCATAGCTTTTCGCATTACGAAATTATGCAGAGTTTGCAGAGACCATACAAACTCTTGTTGAACCAAGATATTAGACAGTGAATAACTGATTATATGTCAATTGCAGTAAAGGAACACTTTTTCAGTACTTCACTACATTGGAATATAATCTTATTTTACTGCATTGTAATAGTAAGATGATAATTTGTTAACCATTATGTTTTCATCAGCATTGTAGTAGAACAGGATTTCAGTTTATCAATCTAAAAGTTGGGGTTTCATTTCTAATTTTCAAATGGGGAAGGTTGCTTTCTTGTTATTTACTCTCCAGGTTTCTCAGTGAGATGAAAACAAGCCCTTTTTCTTCTTTGTTCTGAGTCTTGAGAGTTGTAAGCAGTTATGGAACCTGCTTACAGTTTCTGGAAAAACTGTAGTCAGTTCATAATTCATAACTGAATTTCAATTTAAAATCAGGTATTTTTAAATCAGGATTCAGTTCCCAGAGTAGGATAATGCTGTGGCATTTAAAAAAATATATATTTTAGACACAAGAGTGGAATGCCAACTTTGTGACCGAGAGAGAATTTTTTGTTTAAAGTCTTCAGTGCCTTAGAAGGGGAAACCTGAGAGCAGATACCAAGATGTGCTGTATCTGTGGAATTTTTTGCTTAATGATAAGTAAAAGAAAAAGCTCCTTTACTGAGCTGTCTGTAGAGATACCATAAACACAGTCATGAAGCAAGATATGAAAACTGTCCTGATAAAACCAGAGTCCTGCTATAAATAATATCTGATTGCTTATATACCACAAAAGACATATTTCTGTGGGAACTGAACTGGAAAGTGCAACCTTTTATGATTTTTATGATTATTTTGCAAATAGTAACTTTTTACAAAAAATAGGCACTTAAGCCACCAATCATTATCTGCTTTTATTATTAATAATTGTAATAATAGTTGATACTATCAGTAATAATAATATTGATATATTGACTCTCATTATCTTTTTGAGAGAAGGATATGACTGTTGCTTAATGTAGCTGAAGTTCTTATGTTTCTGATGCAAACTGGAGTGGCTTAATTACTTCAAGTGAAAGAAGTGCCCTCATTATGAGTTTGCTTCTTTGATCAGGAGACCGCACCTGTTAATTACAGCCCTGCAGCCAGGTAAGGGATGAGCACTGTCAGGCTGCCTGTTCCCACGGGATGGCGCTTGGGATGTATTCTTTAAGAACAGCTCCCTGAAATCACTCAGGCTCTTGATGATAAACTGCCTGCAAACCTCACAGTTTGTGTATTCTCCTAAAAATTTTCATTTCCAATTTTTGGTTTCCTATATGAAGGGAACTTTCTCACAGGAATTTATAGATTTTGTTCTGGAGCATCTTTTTTTGTATCTCATTTCCATCTACTCTGATTACATTGAGAGATCAGCGATTTGTGTGCAAGGATTCGGATAGGGTTTATGAGTAAAAGTGTATTTGTTGTTTTCATTGTCTCCTAAAAGCCTTATGCTTGCATAGAAACACTTGATTTTTTTTTAGTGAAACTGGGTTCATGGCTGTTTCAGTCTGCCAGGCCCTCACAGAAACTCAGTTTTCAGATAAAATGGTAGCCCTTTATTCTTGTTTGTAGTTATTATCATTATGTATAGCTGATAGATGCAAATGGGAATTTACACAATGAATTGTGTAATTGCACAAAAATGTCATTAAACTTACCAGAAAGAGTGAAAACATGAGCAGTAAAGAATAACAAAATTTAATGCAGCATCTACTAAATAATAATAGTAGTACCTGTCAACTTATTTTTTTTTTCATGGCTGCTAATGCATTTTTTAATTTGTCAGTCCATGAAAGAGGTATAATCTCCTCACAAATAGTTTGCTGCCACTCTCTGAAAAGCCCAACACAAAAGTCAAGCAGCCTTTTATTAACAGAAACCACAAAGTGCAGCAGTGTTAGGTACCATTATCTCTGCATGTGCACAGGAATTAACAGCTCTAGCCTATATAGATAATCCACCCACTCATTTAAAGGAGGCTGGAAAGCTAAAAAAGGGGTTACAGACATATCTGAGCCCAGCTGTAATACAGTCAGTACTCTCAAGAAACAATATGTATTCAAAACACAGATTTAGCTAATGCAGAATGAGACCCTGGAGTTGCCAGGGCATCTCATGACTTTCATCTGTGCTAGCAGACCTAGCAAAAAGATCTTTAAGTTGCTGCCATGTGTGATTCTATGAAGCCTGGTATTTTTGGGGGATGAAGAGGAGCTGTCATATTGCTATTGTCAATACAGATTCTTTAGATTAACTAGTGTTGCCTCCCATGGGTGTATCTGTGCACTGCTACTCCAATAAAGCTGCTAAGCAGTTAAAGCTAAGCAGATCTATTTAAGAAGCCCCCAGAGGACTGATGCGTGTCCTGCTGCACAGTGAAGTCTGTCAGTACAGCAGTGAGGAGGAAGTGTGGGAAAATCCACCGCTCTGGACTGCCGGCCTCCCTCACTGCTCCACTAGATTTTATATACACATCTGTAAGCTCATTTAAACAAGGATAACAAATTCACGTCTGTACAAGACTGATCTGCTCAAATGACTGCATAGAATGGGATTTTCTTCTTTTCCTTGCAGATTTGATCTCAAGGTAAATCGTGTTCAGTCTTCCTCAACACTGCTAGAGTAAGCCCACACCCCTAGTGCAGAGCTGTAATCCTTAACCAGGTTTTGGTAGATGAGAGCTGTACCAATTTTTGGAGGTACCAATTAAATAAATGGAAGTCATTCAAGTACAGAGGGGTTCCATTAATTAGCTTAGACTAGATACCTAGCTGTAAATAGCTCAGGTTTAATGAGGTGTATCTTCACTAAACTGTAGTCTCATAAAATAGAAGCATACAGTTTACCTGGACTTTCTATCCTGTATATTACATAAATTATGATTGTTTCTTTCTTGGGTACAAATTGATGGACTGATTGATTCAGCAACAGATTTCAGGGGGTTTTTTTTAATAGTAGTTTAGTGACTTACGAGTATTGGTCATTTGGCAGATTGTTGGTTGGGGTGTAATACTGATATTTGTCATGAGTTGTAGAGTGATGTGCAAGAAACATCTGAAGAAAACTTCTCTTGCAATTTGAGGAAACATTGTTATGATGGAGATTAATTTAAGAGGTGAAATGTCGGGTTTGGCTGTCTGTCTCTGCCCCGACACGGGTAGAGTGGTTCTTGGGTGGCACGCGATGCAAAGGACGAGTCTGGACTCTTCAGCTTTTCGGTCTTCAGGTTGTTTATTATTTCTTATCTACAAAATTTTCTGTCTGCCCAACAGAGGTCTGATCTGCAAGCAGTCACAGGCACTCTCTGACCACCCACGGGGCGGTCATGTCTTTTTATACTAAAATCTACGTACACAATATTTACCTTTATTTCCCAATGCTTTTCACCCATGTTAGCAAGTGCACCTTCACCATAAACCAATCTCTAAGTGCCAACATCATCACAGGAGATGGAGGACAAGAAGAAGAAAGAAGAAGGACAAAACACGCCCTGATCCCTCCATCTTGTCTCCATAACCCCCCTGTACCAAAAACCTTAAAGTCTATATCTCACCCTCTAAATGTGTCTCTTTTACACCTTTTACTCTAAAGTGATTCTCTTGTCCTCAAACTCTTGTTACTTCTGTGGATGGATCAAAATCAAGCCACCAAACACTCTTGGCAACATTCCAGGATTTTCGAGACCCCCAAGGGTTCTCCTGGCATCTCTGGACATCGGGAACGATGTGCTGAGATCCCACAGTGAAATACACCAGTCTTTTACATGTATATAAGAGAAAGTCATATTATAAAACTGAAGTGAAAACACACTGGTTTGAAATCTTGTTTTTGATCATTGAACAGCTTTTTAGCAGAAAAAGCTTTTTATTTTGCTGAAGCTGATTGTTTGGGAAAAAAGTTTCAGCATAAACCCATGGTTCCCCTTCCATTGTAACTCTAAAATTTTTATTGTTCCTTCAAATCCTGATTTTCTAAAAGGGTCTTCTGCATCCTGAAGGTGAACTATAAAGGAATAATTTAGTTGTATAATTGATTGAATTGCAAATAACTGCTGACAAAAATTGTCCAGAACACTGTGAAAGTGCTGAACACTCCAGTATAGTTTACTGTATGAAAGATGAGAACTGACATCATGAACATGATGTGTCAATCCATTAAAAGCAGTTTGGTGGGTAGGGTTTGTGAGGGAGTAGGCAGAATTAACATTTCCTGTGAGAACTGGAGGTAATTGGTTCATCCCTGAACAGTGCTGCTACAGCTGCTTCTGTTTATGTACTTCCAAATGAATGGAAGACAGAACACAGATTTTAGTCTCTCCAGCAGTGTCTGGTCTTGTCACAGTATGAGAACCTAAGGCAGATAGGAATAATTTCCCCTCTGAGAATTGCTCCAAATCATCCTCCTAGGCCTGCTGAGATGTGCCTACCAGTCTGGTCCCAGGCTGAATTCTTCATAGCCACCTTCTGGGTGGTTTTGCACAACAATGTTCCATTTCAAAATATCTGTCACTTTTAAACCTACCTAATACCATCTTATTTCATGGACTTGGCTGAAGCACCAAACAAGCTAGTGATTCAAAACTTTCTCTCAGAGTCATCAGGGAGAGAACACTTCCAGAAGGCAGCAAATGCTATAGGTGGAACAGGTTGCTCTGGGAGGTGCCTGTCTTTCTCCAGGGACTGTAGTGCAAATCAGGGCAAAATGGGTCCGCATCAGACAGCACAGATCCAGAAAATTAATTGATACATACCTGGGGATTAGTTTTTAGAACAACTATGAGATAGTCTCAGAATTTGTCAGCAAGGGCTGACAAAACTATCCCCCTTTCCACCTTATTAAATGCTGGGCAAAGATTTTGCTTTTCATCTCTTCAGCTTCCAAGGGGACTTGTGGCCGAGTCTGTAGCGCCCACTGTATTTAACTGACCCTTTAGGGTTTCCCAACTTTAAGGATCCAAGACTCAGAACAGAAGGTGCTCCTGAAGACTGAACTTGTTCCACAGAGGTTGGCATTTGGAAAAAAAAATAATCTCTGTAGAGGATCTACTTATGCAAATAATCACCGGGAAAGCTGACAATTTAAGCCACATCATGTAACAAAAGAGGAGTTTTTCAAAACTTGTTTCCAGCAGTTTTTAAGAATAACATGGATAATGCTCAAGACCAAGCAGTCAGGGAATGAAAGCACAGCTTTCAACTGAAAGGTGAACACAACTTCCAGGTTACAGGTTATTTCATTCCCACACCACACTTTTATCTGCACTGTGCCTGCAAGGGATGGCAGTGCTGGAAATACTGGCATGTATTATTAGTTGCACACAGACACATAGTGATTTTCAGTTCCTTTTTAGATAACATGAAAGTAAGAAGTAATGATGAATATAATCCAGCAAGTGTTGGTTTACATTCCTTTTTTATCAGAACGCTTAGTGTGCTTTCTTTCTAGCTTCCCTGCAGAGTGATCATACCTATATTTTATAGAAAGCTAGAAAAATATAGATAGAACTAAAATATAGCTAGAACTTTTTCTCTCTAAGCCTACACAGGATTTTATATGGTTTTTCTAATGTCTTTGTAGGATTTTGATGATTTATCAGAAACAGATGTAAGCAATGAGGATCAGCACCATGATGTCAAGCCTGAACTTATGGAGGACGAGCTTAAATCCAGGTTATTTCAGCTTGCTGCTAAAATGAGTGACAAGGAAACATCATCTGGTGAAGAACAAGAGTCAGAACCTGGAATAGATCTGGAAAACCAGAAGGAGAGTTTGTCCTCAGAGGAAAATGGCAGAAGTATCCAGGAAGAGTTAAAGAAGGTAAGTGGTAGTTAGAAAGGAGTGGGAATAGTATTGTAAGAGTTAGAATGCAAAAAGAGAAAATTCTGCCTAGAAAACTGAACACAGTTGCTTAAAAGAAACCTGAAGTCCTTTCTACTGGGCTAAGCCTGAATCTCTTGTGCAGATAAAAATAAATGTATGTTTTCCTCTCTGTGAGGAACAGAAAGCCTACAGCATCAGTTCCAAGCAGGGAACTTAGCCTGTGCAACAAAACTGTTAACTGGGTGATATTAATGGAATTATGTCAACTTATATTAACTAAAAATGGACTTGCACTTTTGGATTTTAAAAGCATATCCAGTTTTTCTTTTTTGTCCTTGCTAACCAGTTCAAGTGGTTTTTTTCCATCCTTTTAGTTACTCTTCTCTTTGTAGTATTATCTAGTTCATGTTGATGGCATGGATCTTCTTTTGCATCTCTATAAAAATATTTAGTGTTTCTTTAAAGCTTTCCAACCCTGTTGCCCTGTCAGCAAGTAGGCTTCTGAGAGTAGTAACATTTTCTAATGAAACTGAAATTTGGTGTCAGTTCTAATAGTGCCCAAGATCCTTCACTTGTGCCATTTCACCCTTACAATTTAGATACCAGATTTCAGTGTCACTCACAGGATTTACCACCTCCTTTCTTCCCTTTCTACCTCTGAATTTCTCTTCAGATCGTGTGGTTTGCTTGAATTTAGTGCTAGAGGAGCCCAGTGGTGCCCCTTGCTAGTCAAGCACTCTAATTCTTTAGATCCACTTAGGCTTATTCTAGTTTGTTGCATATCTTGACTTGCCTTATGGAGTGTTGTGTGCACAGCAGCTCAGTTTTGACAAGGAATATGGACAACTCTCTAAAGGAAATCTATTTGTTGTAATTTGAAAGGTGTTTTGTTCAAATTATATAAAGAGCTAATACACTGGGAGGTGAAAACAGGATTGAGTAATCCAGGCAGACAATAGAGGTGCTGTCCAAGAATGCAGGAATGGTATCACAAAAGCCAGTGCCCATCTGGAGCTGAATGTGTCCAGAGACACAAAGGGGAAAAAAGTGTTCTACAGGTCTATCAGCAGCAAAAGGCAGATGAGGGAAAGCTGGGCTCACTACTGCAGTGATCTGGTGACACAGAATGTGGAAAAGTCTATTACCCAACATTGTTTTCACCTCAGTTTATGGGTTAAGATTTTCCCTCAAGAATCCCAGGCCCCTGAGACCTATGGGAAAGCCTGGAGCAGTGAAGGCTTATCCTTGGTAGAGGAGTATCAGGTTAGCAAACATTTCAAAAACTGGGATCTGCACATGTGCATGGTGTCTGATGGGGATGCACTTCCAAGACCTGAGGGAACTGGCCCATGTAATTGTGAGGTTCATCTTTGAAAGATCATGGCAGTCTGAGACATTCAGAGCTATGAATATTGTTTATTTTGGCTTTAACAAGACTTTTAGCAGTCAAGTGTAAAGGGAAATGCAAGTCCTGCATGTGGGAAGTGATTATTTTATGCACCTCTGTTCAGTATTGGTGAGACCATTTTTGGAGTGCTGTGTCCTCTTTTGGACTCCCCAGTACAAGGTACACATGGACACACTGAAGTGAGTCCTGTGAAGGACCACAGGGATGATTAAAAAACTGGGGCATCTGTCCTATGAGGAGAGGCTGAGAGAGCTGGAATTGTCTATCCAAGAAGAGAAGGTTTGGGAGAATCTCTTCAATGTGTTTAAATATCTGATAGGGAAGAGCGGGGAGTGTTTGTTGTGGGAAATTAGGTGGAAATGGAACTCTTTCCTCTGGTAGGAAAGGAAGCAGTGGGCACAAACTGAAATACAAAAAATCCCATCCAAATGAAAAGCTTTTTCCCTGTGTTGCTGTTTAAATACTGGAATAGTTTTCCCAGAAAGATTGTAAAGTCTGTGTCGTTGGATATAATCAAAATCTGACTGGACATTGGCCCTGGGTATGTGTTTTGAGCAGAAGAGTTGGACTAGGTGATCCCCTTACATTCCAAATATAAGGAGCATGTGACTCTTTGATTCTGAGTTATTTAGCCATGGACTACACAGGAGTGTAAATACCTTTGTTATCATGTGTGCAAATACCTCCATGATGTACACACAACCTTTCCAAAGAAATCACATAAAGGATTTATTGTCAGAGCTTGTTAGCAGCATTTAATTTATTTTTATTTGTTTTGCCAAGACAAAACAGCAATATCCCATTATTCAACAGCACATATAGGCTAGCTGGGTTTATAACATTATGCAAATTAAATCCAGAATTAAAGGCTGTAGAGAGGACTTTCTGAAATGCTCCTGTATAGAGAACTGAGCACAGAAAATGATGAATGTATGTTTTTGGTGTACTTGCTCATCTGCATGCATCGACAAAGTATTATTGGTGGGTTTTTTCTCTCCAAATTTTGCTATTTCTTTCAAATTTGTATGTCAGTTATTTAAAATACAGCAAAGATTAATATATTCTTCCTCAATAAAATTTTCTTAAGTTTTAAAAACGCAGGGCTTACTATGTTCAGTGAAAAAAGGAATGCTTGGAGTTCCTAATCCTTTATTTGATTTGGATAAAAAAGTTCTCTTCTTTAATGGTCGTAGTATATACTCTTTTTGTCTATTATAAAGAAACCAGAATACTCCAGTACTCTTCGTGGTCTGGAATTCAGTGGAATTGGCAGGGAAACCTTCTCCGTGTGTAGAGAAAGAAGCACACTGCTTTCATTCATATTCTTGAGGAGCCTTTTAGTTGTCCTTAAAGGTATTTTTAAATCTTCTGACATGTGCCTTCTCTCTGAAAAGTTGGCTGGTCAACATCTTACCAGGAAATACTGAAGATGACAGTGTATAAAACTAGCTGGGGCTGTGGCAGTCTAAAATACAGACATACCCAAACTCATAAAAGATGCAACGTCTTTAGGATGAGTAGATGTCATGTGAAAGACAAGCATAGAAAACCTATTTTCAAGCAACCAGTGATTTTAGATGCTTTCAAATCTAGAAGTCCCAGTATAGTCTCTTTAAAAAGCCTGATTGTTGGAGAATGCACATTTGTAGGGATTTACAGATCTTTCAGTCTAGCACTCACCACTATTGGTCAGAGACAGTCTCCTGAGCTGGGCATCAGGTTTCAAATTAAATATACAGAAGCATTAGTTCTGCATTGTAGGAGTGATGGTGGGAAGGACGGTTGGGACAGATGGAGACGAGAGATCTCCAGAGCCAGGTCTTGGAACTTGGGGTTTATTGCAAAGGCCTTGGAGCAAGCACCAAAGAGGAGCCCGAAAGAGAGAGAGCAAGAGAGAGAGGGAAGAATAAGAGCAAAATGAAAAGAGGACAGAAGAAGAGTAAAAGAAGATGAAGTTCCCATTACAATACAATACATTTTCTTCTGTGCTGAATATTCTAATTCACACTAGCCAATCTAGTACAAGATACAAATCCTATAGCATTTACATACAGCCCATAAGAATCATTACATTACTATACTGTGTTACATTTTAAACCCTAAAAACTACTCTGTGGACCACTTCTGCCAAGCTAGTAGGGTCTGCTCTGGCCCTTGGACCTGTCTGCAAGCAGAGGATATTGTCTAATCAAAAGGGGATTACCTTCAGTGGCCATACTATTGTTTTCCAGTTGCTCAGTAACTAAGGCTTGGTATCTCAAAGCTTGCTTTCATTTCAATCTCGCTTATAGTTTCCTTATACTCAAAATCCTTTGCCAGGCAATCATATTTATAAGGGTTTTGTGTTTCATCTTCACCAACACTGCACCATTAAAATGAGAGCTGGAGTGCCTAGATTCTGCTTTTTGTTCCTGAACATAAATACTATACTTTAGCCATCTTGCTTTTATTTTAGCCATGCTGCTTGTCTTTCTTGGTCTTTAATCTTCTGTTCTCATAAGCTTATTCGGGAGCACTTCAGCAACTTTAAATTGCTGGGAATTTTTAGTTCTTGTACACCTGACCATAGGATAAGACTTAAAAACCTGTATTTTGTTTTTGAATCTCTGGAAATTAAGTACCTGGTGCTTATCTGACATTCAGCTGTCTAGACCTTTAAAAACCAGGACTTCTGTTTTAATAGAAACTGGGAATCTCATGTAATCACACATTAAACTGATGCTTTTAAAAGGGTATTTAGTATTATGATCTGAATCAGTGGTAAAAGTGGTATCCTTCATGGAGAGCTAGATGAAGCTGTTTGGCATTTATGGATTCTCAGTTCTCACTTATTGAGCGTTTGAATTGTATATCTCCCTTTAAGATGCAAATTTGAATATGATGACCTTTGAGCTAATTATTTAGTTCATCTGGGATATCTGAGGATTTAAATTGGTATTAACTAACACAAGTTAATTTGGGGACTTGGACTTAAATTTTCTTAAATTTTCAGCACCTTCATTTTCATTATCCCTCAGTTTGTGGGATATCCCTAAAATGGTCTTGTGGAGATTCATAGCTCTCATTTTAAAACAAACATAATCCTGCAGCAGACTTGTTTTTATGGAAAATATTTTGTGTTTCTTAAGCTACAGAAGTAATTAATGGTCTTTCTGGGGTATTCAGAGCCCTGAAAAGTCCATTTGTCTTAGTTGTGCAGTGAAAGGACATGGTTTTCACCAAAAGCCATGTTTAGGGTAGGGTTGGCCTTCAGGCCCTCTAAACTTCAGGTATGAGCAAACCAAAATTTGAATTGTGCAACTGTTGTCTTAGTGAACCATCTTGTCCCAGCACAGCGATTTGCACAATTCTTTCTGTCTTGCTCTTTTTTTTTTTTTTTTGATTGATTGGTTAGTTTTTGCTTTATTCCACCAAACCCTAAATGAATGCCTAAAGAAAAAAAAGCAAAATGTAAATTCTCTTTGAAGTATCTTAATGGCACTGATCCTGAGAGTGGCAAGCATGATAAATGGGATATATTTAGATCGCAGTCTCCTCCATCCATTCTCCTTCTCTTTTAATGCTTTCATGAAGATAAATTGACTGGGTCTTTATTTCATGGTATATCCCAGAATTACATTCTAGAAGGCTATTTTGGCAGGCTGCAATTTGAATGCAGTCTATCCCTGTGACCACTTTATCAGAAACTATGGAGATTATGTTAAAAAACAGATTAGCCCCTGCCATGTTTTCAAATTGCCCACATAGCATGAAAATTGAAATAGTTGTTAAAACCTTACTTGTGATTTTTTTTTTGTCACCTTCTACTTAGCACTACAACTTTCTTAAGATATACCAATGAGCAAGCTAGTTAAACTTCCATAGTAACGTGGAGTTTCCCTCCTCTTTGCATTAGCTTGATGCAATGTGCTGTGTGCTTAAGGAATCTCTTTAAATCCCTTTATGCATTTACTTCTGCTCAGAGAATCTTACAACCAAGGCTTAGTAACTTTGTTTAAATCCTGCTGTTGTCTGTTGCCATTACTACACGACACAATAGCTCTTCTCTGAATGACAGCCTCTAAGTGAGTTTGTTAAGTAGCACAGCGGGATCCTGTTTCCTAAGTGAAACCTCCCAAGTCTCTTGACAGTATGAATAACAGCATAAATCATCTTTTCATTAAATATTTATGCTTCCATCCTCTGGAAACATTTTATTCTTCTTAGGTTTTAAAAAGCTTTTTTTTGGGGAAAGCATGAACTATAAATAACATATTCATGTTGGTTTTTGCCAGAGACCTATTTCCTTTGTTTCAAGAATATATCTTGCTTTTTTCACCAGGTAAATTAGCACTGCTCAACTACTGGCATAATGAGATTGAGACTTGTTGGAAAATCTGCCTGGCCTCTGTCTTTTTAGCAAGAAGAATAGCCAGTAGCTGTGCATGTGGGTGCATGTTCCTGCAGAAGAGAGAGCCATCTCCCTGGTGTGTGTGCTGGTGGCTGTGCCCAGGGCTGGCCTTGGAAGGGGTAGCCAGGGCTCAGTAAGGGAGGTCAGGCAAGCGTGGGGCTCACTGGACACAGTCACTGGAGAGACCTCTGCTTGCAGCCTTGATGGAGCTGGAGAATGTCAGTGGACATGCACATGCCAGTGAATCCCTCCTGTACAGCACAGACCTGTTGAAGCATCACGGCAGGGATGGGTAGGAGGCTGACACAGCAGTGCTGGAATATCAAGAGCCTGTGTCTCCTGGTGGCTGGGCTTCTTTAGGCATTTGTGCTGGTGAAGGCACTGTCCTCACAGAAGATGGTGTCGTAGTTTGTGTGATCATTATCTTGGAACTGCCTGAATTCCTGAGTATTTTGACTGGTATCTTGGTTCAGGAAGGGCTTTATAGGAAACTGCCATCCAGCTTCATATGCCTAAAAGCTTTAGAAGTAAAAGTTTACTCTCTGAATAAAAGTTTCTAAAGGAGAACCAGTGGATCACTTTGGCCAGAAAACACAGCAGCGTAAGTACAGTAGCTTACTAAATTGCTGCTATTATGGTCGTAATGCTGAACACTGCAGTACAATGATATCTTCCTGGATTAACAGCTTGGTTATTTGTGTGTCTGTTGTTTCACAGTTTTGCATGCAAGATTCTCAGATTAATTCTTGTGTTTTCATAGATCATTGCTTTTAAAATTATGTTAATTATCTGGGCAGTCTCCCAAAATCAAGGATTGAAAACTGAATGTGGACAGCATTGTAAAAAGTGATCTTTAAGGTTTATGAACTGCAGATAATCCATGCACAGGATTTTGAATGACAGCAGAGAAAAAAAATTGGGTTAGGGAAGGTGAAAAGCAGTATGAGACAATAATCTTCACATTGGGCTAATGGATCCAAAGTTTTAAGTTCTCAATTTATCAAAGCAGTATATGTTCAAGTCAAGTATATGTCCAAGTCAAGTATATGTTCAGTTTTAAACTGAGGTTTAAGTGGTTTGCTGGACAAAATCCCCATTCAAGGTGTTTCTCCATTGTATTTGCTATTATTATTCAGTCTTTAGTATGAAATATCAAGCTGATCCTAAGTTTATTTTGTCAAAATCTGTGTCTTCTGTTTCAAGCATCAAGACCATGAACATTTATTTTTTTAAGTTTCCAAAGCAAGCAGGGTCGTTTGTGTACCTCCAATTCTGACACTTCCTGGGCTCAGTACAGTTGTGTAAATATGGATGTAGATAGATCATCTGGGATATCTTAGAGTGTCCCTCAGAACCTTAAGCTGCTAGTCCAGAAAAAATGTGAATGTCCCAGGTCCATGTCATATCAGACAGTGTTGTTTCAAAATCCTCGCACACTCCAAGCTGTTTCAAATTGTACTTTGTCTACCGGTGTTTAAGCAACTGAATCAAAGCCCTGTTGGATCTACTGGTGAAGGGCAGAAGAGGTGACATTTAGCTGCCTTCACATGGGGAATGCAGTATCTTTGTAAACAGCTTTTTTCTCATAGTCTCAGCTCTGACACCTGCCTGCATGCACACCCAAGCCAGCTCTTGTAGTGTGCATGCAAGGGAAATCTCCTTCAGTTCTCTCCTCGCCAAAGATTTATTTACTTAGGGAGAAAATATCCAAGCTATTCTACAGATACAGTTGCAGAAAAGCAGTGAACATAAGTGTAAACTGCTGGAACAAAATAGTGGGAAAAGAGACTATTTTTTACTACTATTTTGCCTTCTTTTGTAAACTGCCTCAAGACTTGGAAGTGAAAAGTGAGGTCTTTCAGATCTAGCTGGAAGAGTTTCAGGGAAATGCTACTCCTCAGCTGGAAGATACTTCTGTCACAGCACAGCCAGCAGGGCAGCTGTAGTTTAGTCATTACTTCACCGCAAAACCAGTCAGTTCAGTTTAAACAGGCCTAAGGAAATTAGGGCGATTACTGTAAGCCTACTGGCTGGTCACTAGAGACTTGTACTATGAAGGGTTTTACTTGTTTGTTTTGGGACAGTGAGTCCAGCACCAAAGAGTAGGAAGTGATTTGGCACACGACATCTTGCTTAACTTAGGCCAGGTGTTTCTCACGTGGGCATCTGACTGTGGCATAAGTGAGGTACAGACTCTTTGGTAACTACTGTCCAAATTGCTACCATGTACACTCCAAAAGTGAAGATAGCTGGCTTTTCTTCTTTTTCTTAACACTGCTGCAAAAGTGTTTTTCCATTCCTAGTGACACTTTTTGTGGTGGTAGAAATAGTATTTTCCCTCTGATTCATTTTATAAACAATTGTGTGTGATTTGCAATTTCTGTCTCAATGAAGTCTGTTAGTCTAAATCTCATAAATAAGATTAAATTAGGCATTGATTTATTTTAAATATTTTAGTAATAAATGTAAAATTGAAATTTTATGCTATTTTAGTTTCTTTAGTAGTTTCTTTATCCTTGCTGTTTATCCTAAACTTCCCTGTAAGTCTGAACCTATATAGTTGTTAACCTCTGTAGCTGTTAATATAACTTTTCTGCCTTTTTATTTAACTGCTTTCCCACTATCTAGGAAAAACAAAAGGCTTTTGATCTTCATTTAAAGCTGCAGTTTTTATCCACTGTATTGCAGCAGGTGAGAAAGCTTTGTTTTGTTTGTGTCTTCTTACATCTCTTATGTAGTAAGAGATGCATTAACGTGATATTGAGGGTTTCCACTTTTGCCAATCAACATTCTTAAACTCAGAATGTTTTCTTGGAAATATCAGGCATGAAAAATCATACCTTTTGGCAACAATCAATAATCATTGCAGAAAATTATTTTATAATCACAGTTAACATGTGGAGCAGACTGGCTCCCTTGTTTGGCCTTGTGATGAAAATTTGGTTTTGTCAGTAAAGAAGAACAGAAGACAAAGATAAGGTGTACGAACTTTCTATTCTCATGTACTCACTTATATTAAGAAATTTGGAAGGGGGTTTTACTGACCATAGTGATCTTCAAAAATCTTTCTAAGTTCTCAATTTAAAAAATAATTAAAACCCTTAATTCATTGTACAGTTTGTACAGTAAGTAGATATTTTCTCACTTTTCTGCTAGTGACTGTTGCTTATGATTCTTTTAGGCAGAAAGAGGCTTTTATATTCTGTGCTATTTAAATCTCAGCTTATGAGGATCACATATTAAAAAATATTTTCATTATATTCCCTGAGCAAATATATGCTTATCTTATATTTCAAAATACCTGCTATTTTTAGTATGTCATACATCATTCTCTCAGTTATAAAATAAGAATCACTTTTTTGTGTTAGAAGTTGATGCTTAATTTAACATGACACTTGTCTCATTTTTTTCTTTTTTCCTTGCTCTTAATTTTGTCCTATGAGTTTTCATCATCTTTTAATTATCTTGATTTTATTTAGTAAAAATATCAATGGTAACATTAAAGAAGAAGTGTTTTTCCAGTTGTGTAATGTCATCAGTATGTGTCCATTGTATATCAGAATCCTGTGTGGATTTTTAGATGGAAATATTTTAATTTCCAACTTAGCCTATAATATTTCACCTCTTGAAAAATCACTTCCATTCTCATTATTAGAGGCAACTTGTCTCTAGAAATAAGGCATTAAATATTAATAAGCATAACATCTGTAACTATATTAGGACAGTGGATTGGATTAGTAAAATGTAATATTCAGCATTACCTAGCACAGTCAAAAAGAGAGACTTTATTTCTCTGTGTTATACTTTGGAGACTATCAGTAGAATAATAGCTCTCAGCCTGTAGGATAATTTGGCTTTCTTTTTCTAAAGGAATGCCCATAAATTAAGATATTGATGATAAAGGTCAAGGCAGGTAGTCTTAAACTTGAAGAGAAGAGTAATTCTTTGATATCACAGATTACCATGGTATACTTGTCTGCCATCAAACAGCCACGCAAAATTTTGCCTTTTTTTTCCCCACAATTTTCATGGTAATGAGTAGTTAGGGCTCACTTTTGGGCCAAAGATCGTTTGAAGGTCAGGGTTGACAACTGCCACAGATAGCTGGGCATTGATGGCTCTTTTCTTCCCACACTGTGACTTGTGTCCCAGATTTCGCTAGCCTGTGAAGGACTTTCATTGGGCTTTTCAGGGCCTTCTCAAAACTCTACAATGAACATTGAACTTCTCAATGAACTCCAATAGGGTGGGGAGATGAAGGAGACAGATTTGAGGTTTGATTTTGTTTTCACCCAGCTTGAATTCAGTCAGGTTACTCTGAAAGGATGAGTTAATCAGTGGCAAAGCAAAACTTATCTTCTCCCCTCCCTATAAATCCCTATAAAAGAGGGATATCGACTGTGACTCAGTGCATGATATAACGCCTTGACACTGGAGCTAAAAATGATTGCACCACAAGTCATCGAGGATGTGGTCAATACTGCCAGGACTGCTAGTGATGGAAAGGTGTTCTTGCTCTACTTCTTGATCTAGCTGTTGATGTCACTGTTCTCTGTTGAATTGCAGGTCACCCCCTTCCACGGTCTTTAAAAGAGCCTAATGACTGCATTGTAGTGGCAGGAGAAAAGAAAACAATAATGGCTGAGTACAAGGCAGAAAAAAATAGTGCTAGTGATAGAGAACTGAACGATTTTAAGAGCATCAAAAATAAAAGTCATAATGTTCATGCAAAGGAAAAGATGTGAAAATGTCACAGGCTGCTGAGCTGCTTAATACACTTAAAGCTCACCTGCTCTTAGCAGTTTGGGTACTTAATATTGCTTCAGTTTTATCATCCTGTTTTCCTTCTATTACATGTGCCAGAATGCAAATACTGGTCTACAAAGCACTTTCCAGTGTAGGATGCTTGAGATAAACAACACAGTAAATATTGTCAGCATCAACAGGGAAAGGAAAGGAAAGGAAAGGAAAGGAAAGGAAAGGAAAGGAAAGGAAAGGAAAGGAAAGGAAAGGAAAGGAAAGGAAAGGAAAGGAAAGGAAAGGAAAGGAAAGGAAAGGAAAGGAAAGGAAAAAGGAAAAGCGGCTAACAGTCAGCAAGACCACTTTTTCTTTAGACCACTGAAACATAACAGGAATAATTTCCATCTGACAAACAGAAATGACAGTAATGAAGTTTTACAAGATATTTGTTATATTCAGTGCAAACATGTATCTATGCTTGCATACATGCACATTTTTAGCATTTCATTGGTTTTAAGACTCAACCACAAAGAACTCAGAGAAATCAAGAATGTTCTTTTGACTGTGTTCTTAACATTTGGTGACCATGGGTATTAATTATCATAAAAAAGATAAATGCATGTTTTCCTCATTCCATTAGATGCTTAGTCTCACATTCAATAAAAAAAAAAGATTCTTATAACTATTAGAAACATTCATACTTGGTCTGCTGCATGGATTTGATTTGGGAGTGGTGGTGTTAATTCAGAAGTAGGGTAGCACAGCTGAAATCCGAATGCATCCCAGAGTTTCAAGAAGAATGGTTGCACTTAGCTTTCCTGTGCAGGATATTTGTACCAGAGATTGCTTTCTACATCTACCACATCCATATTAGTTCTCTGACTTGCTTGACAAGACAACATTCTGTGTCATGGCATGACAGCTGTCCCTGTGAGTCACTTAGAGGTGCAAGCAATGACCTTTCCTGCAAGGGCAAGATAAATCAGATAACCAAGAGGTGTTTGGAGCAATTTGAAATCCACCTACCAGGATGATCTTGATGTGTCTGTGTCTGTGAATTCCAGGTGATTTTTATATGGTCTTGTAAATGCTCAGTTTGACATGGGTGGTCAGGGAAGGGAGAGGTTTGTGAAGTACTAAAACCCTGCAACACATTTTTTTTTTTTTTTTTTTTTTATTTATTTTGGGTTTTTCCCATTACACATGTTAAATAATTGTATCTAGAGTACCTTACTATATTTGCAAACTGACCATTTTGGAACATGAGCTGTTTTAACAGCTTTGCATAGTTGCTCAAAAGGAGGGTAAAACATACAGAAAATCATTACCTGAGTATCCAGCTTTTTACAAATCACATTTCTGCACCTATGGAGGATTAGAGTGGACATTTGGAAGCATTTCTTCACTGTGAGGTTGCTCAAACATTGGCTTCCTAGAGAGGTGGTTAGTGCCCGACCCTGTCAGTGTCTAAGAAGCATTTGGACAATGTTCTTTAATAACATGCTTTAACTTTTGGTCAGCCCTGAACTAGTCAGGTAGCTGGACTAAGTGAGCATTCATCACCTTCCAAAAGAAAAGTTATTCTATTCTGTTCTATTCTATTCTATTCTATTCTATTCTATTCTTTCCTCTTGAACTACTTTTCCCCTATCCATTACCTATTAAGAAGCTAGGGTATTTTTCACTCAAAATCTTGATTTCACAAAGGTATCTATCACAGACAACTTTACCTGGAAAACAGAAAAAATATTTTATAGGAATTGGTCTGTGAAAAATGCCAATAGGGATTATCATATTGTGGTATAAAAATAACTTTTTCTAATTTAATTTAATATTTTTTTTGAAATTCATCATTAACTACAAAGGATAATAAAAAATTTAAGAAATAATGAGCACTAAAGTGAGGCTACAGTTCTTGAAATGGAGAACATACATCACTGAATATGATGAAGAATATAGAGTGTCTGGCCTTCACCCTTTTTTGTTCACTACTCACAGAATATAAGAACTAGGTACTTGTAGAAGTAAATAATACAAGAAAGTAGCATTGATTTTTCTCTTCTTTCCTATAAAATTATTGATCTGATTTTAACCTAATTGGCACTTGTGAAAATAAATGGAAAAAAACCAGTAGGCTTTTCATGGGGTTCAAGTATTTGTTCTCAGTAAGAGTCCCAGGCCTGCTGGTTTGGGGCTGTGTTGGCTGTCCTAACAAGCTAAAGATCGAGTGCTGTAGCATACTGTATTTGCTTTGTTCTTCTTCTCTTTAATCTCTCATTCTAATTATTTCTTGTAATTCAGATGAGTAATAGTGCTAAAGATGCCTTAATGTATTGATACACGACAATTGAGCATGTACTGCTAAAAATGTAGCTTTTCAGTACAAATCTTACCTAACATAAGAATGGACAGCTGATTAAAGGAAAGAAATAATGAAAGTAGGTTTCCAATTTACCCCATCAGAAATTGTGGGAATCAAAAGAGCATTATTTCTCCTGTATCCTGCCTATAGACATTTTTAATGAGTTATACTCTCCAGTACCATAGAATTTACTGTATAGAATCCAAAGACTGTCCGTTTCCTCAGTACTGATCTGCAGATACTTTGTGAGAAAATTTAAAGACAGGTGAGCCCCTAATTCACATGCATAAATATTTGCAGGTTTGAAGAATGAATTAAATTTTGGTTTAAATTTTTCCACACTTTCTTTTAGGCAAAGCAACTGTAAAGGTATTGCGCATATATTATTCGGTGACAGTATTTTTATTGGCTTCAACAAGCTTTGGCTCAGTCTCCAAGCTGTATAGTTTGGATGTTGAGCTTGGTGCTTGAAGGTGCATCTGGTGAAATTTTTTTCCTTCATCAGAGGAAGGTCCTGAAGCTTAAAGCTATGTGAGAATCATAAGAATCAGGACAGTTAATTACAAATTACAAGTAAGGAACATTGATAAAAAGGTTTTCAGCTGTTTCTAAAAAATCTATAAAACTGCATGCTTTTCCTTGGTATTTGATATCATTTATTCCATATTAAAAAAGAGGTAAATTGAAATTAAAAAAAAATAAAAGGATACAAGTGTTTTCACAATTATCGTCAATCTTTGTTTATTTGGGATGATCATTTAGTTCATAGTAATCATTTTAGTAAAACGCTATCCTTACAGGGCTGCTGAAGATTGCTTTTCCATGTTTGCATCCACAATGAAATGGCTCTTGTGGATACAGATGTAGATGATTGCATAGCTCTTTGCCAGTATCCAAAAAGAAAAATTGTGTTTTAAACATGTTTAAAACACTTTTGCAAAACCAGTTTTATGTAGCTCACGTAGAGTTTAAAGCTGGATGTTGTGTGCTCCTTTGGGATAAGATTTGGATCATTCCTCCAGTAGAATTCTGTTGTAGAAGAATTGCATGTGTATGTTACTTTGCATGCTGTAGCAGTGTGGGTATGTGAGCAAGGGAAAGAGGAAAAGGCAAAACAATTCCAATTCCATTACATGGTTCTTGTGTCTGTTTCCAGCAGAGAGCCATGGATATGGTTTTAGCATGGCTAAAGCTGTGGCTAATAGAAGGTGATTTATATCTTACCCCTCTCTGCTAATTAATGCTGTTTTTTTCTCTGTCTGTTCTTGTAACAAAATAGAAGTACTCTGCTGTCTCTCTCTGCAACATATCTACAGAAGTCCTGAAAGTCATCAATGCCACTGAAGAGCTGATAGCAGAATCCACCGATCCCTGTGACTTCCCAGATGACGTTCAGGACAGAGGGAGAGGAGCCCTCCCGCTGGGCACAGATCCTGTCAGACTTGATGAGCAGCTCACCACGCTGGAAGAAAATGTAAGGAGACGAATCAGTATGTGAAAGTCACGTGTGTGTGTGAGTGCACCTGTTTGTGTGCACCAACTGGAAAGGGAAAGCACATGGGGCAGCATCAGTGGATGTTCAAAATTAATTTGGGGTTTTTAAACAAATACACAAATAGAAAAAAACTGGTGTTTCAACAGTGCTTAACTGTGTCAGTGGGGGGTTTTTAAGATGTACTTTAAATATAGAGGGGAGGAGGAATTGGTTGCTTTGGGGTTTAGAAGCTCTATCTCAAAAGCTCATTTATGCCCTCCATGCCTCTGTGGCAGTGTGGCTATGCCACACCTGGCTGAAGCCACACATCTCCCAGTCTCAGCACCATCTCATCACTCCAAGGACAGGTGGAAAAAGCATTATTTCTCCAGTCACACAGAGAAGTGGAAAAGCTCTTCCTCCCCATTAGATCTCCAGCACACCGTGCTGAGCACCCAGGAACCTGGAGCTGCCTCCTGTACTGTTAGAAAGAGCAGGCTGGAGAATCTTAATTAAACAAACATTTGTTTGGTGGCATCCAAATCATCCATCCTTTTTCATTAATACCTGTCATCTGCAGGGGAAAGTACAATGCTGAATCATAGAAGGAAGTCACTACTCATTGGAAATTTTTGTGAATCCAGTTAATGGAGTTGGTAAACTTTTAACTTTCTCTTCTTCCCACATTTAAGTGCTCTTTCCCTTCATTAGGAACTCTTAAAATCTCATAGGAATCTGCACTGTCCCGTTACCTCATCCTGTTCAATTCAAGAAAATAAATCCTGGTTTTCTTTAGCCCCAAGAAAATTTTCAGACAGAATCTCCTCTTAGAGAATAAAATCAGTTTCCTCCACAGAAACACATTTCCACATCAGCCCCAGACTAAGAACTGGGTGGAAGATACTCTATGGCACTAAAAGCCAGTCCTGGCACTAGACTCTCTCTCATGAAATAGTAAAGTATCCTAAAGGTCCAAACACCACAGAATTCATCTGGTAGGGGAGTGAATATAGATTAAAAATCCAAGTGCATGCTGGACCACATCTTCAGAAGAACTAAGAAATTCTGCAGGACAAAGGGCAGTTTGGGGAAATCTGCTCCCACTTTTTTTTTTTTTTTTTTTTTTTTTCCCTGTGGAGAACTGTGTTGTAAACTATCTAAGGTGCATGGGTTTTTTTCCCAATTGCACTTTGATAATCCCTCCCAGCAATGTGGAGCCTTGGCATCTGTGGTGCTGTGGCCTCGAATGATTCATTTGGGCCAAACATTTCTCACTGAGCAGACACTGGACACAGAGGCAGAGCATTTCTTGCTTTGGCTTTGCCCTCACTGCAGCATCTCTGCTTTAGCGTCTCCCAGTTCCCTGCAGAATTCACAAGGTACCCAGCACAGCCTTGCTGTGTCCCCACAGAACATCTTTCTCTGTCCCACACAGGACATGAACTAGATGACAAAAACTTCACAGTTTGAAGGTTTCACCATTACACTCCATGGTAAAGAGCCTTTAGAAATCCAGGAAACCATAACTTTTCCCATTGCAGCTGCGGCCATATCTACATGAACCACATCCTCTTTGCAGCATCTTCTGCAAGAGGATCTGGATGTTTATAAACACTTTGTTCATTTTTGCTCTCTCTAGCCTTTTGAAGACTGTGCATGCAACAATGTGGAGAATGTAGGGCCATCTGTACCAGCAAAAGGTTGGGGGTTTGTGGAAGTTGTGCATACCCAAATGACAGTAAAATAAGTCTCCACAATCTAAATATGAATGTATGAATTAGGGCATCATTTAAGGCAGACCTGCAAGGACATCATTGCTGTTTGGAAGTGTAACAATTGTCCAGGTGAAGGGAACATTCTTTAGAAAAATATTTTCTTTAGCTCCAGCTGGAAAATGTTCATTAATATTTCACAAATGTAGGGGGTGATTGAGTTACAGAAACACTGATGACCTTTCTTTCCCACATTTTTCTATCAGTCCCATTTTCTTTAGATTTTCAACCCCTCTTGAAAATGACATCTTACTGTGCAGAGATTTTTGCAACAGCATTTAAAATGCATCTTTTCTTTAACTTTCCAAAGATACTGCTGTTCAAAATGTTCTATTTCTTTCTTCTTTAAGCTATTAGATGTGACAGGGAAATCTAAAAAAACTGTCCTTTAATCTGAACTGGCTGAGGTATGTCATACTTAAAAGATGTATCATTTAAATGAAGAGTAAGAATAATTAAACCACACAAAAGCAGGAGCATTTCTATTTAAATCATCATGTTAACTTTATGGACCGCCTGTGTCCCCAGGTACTTCAGCAAAAATTTTACATCAGATCACTTATTTCTTTTTGGTATGTTTTTCAGAGATTTCATTTCTGCAGTTACAAAGTGTTCTTACAAGATGCAGTTTGTACAGATGTACTGATTTTGTTTCTTAGCAAAGTCACATGCATGAAAAAAACCTATCTACAACTGACACAAAGAAAAAATAAAACTGTTTCAAGCAATTAAGAAACAATAATGAAATAGAAAAGGAATTAAAAGTAAACAAACTTCAATCTGGTCATTCTCCACCATTTTGATCCATAAAGTCACAGCATTGCCATAAATTATTTCAATATCTCTTATGTCAAAGGACTGAATGATCCAGGAATTGTGGGCAGATATAATGACTGGAGTAGAAGATGTATGAAATGAAGGTATTGGCTCAAGGATCTCCTTCAGATCCAATTTGCTTGACCTTTGAACCCTGAAGTCAGCCACAGCCATGTTTAATTCATCCTAGGTTTGTGACAAGCTGGTCTTTACTAATATGGCAATGGGGGAAATCAGAATATATATTTCATTTCCACTGTGCTGTTACCAGCCTCATGGAAACAAGTCTCTTGGCAAAGGAGTAAATGGGCAGAAAGTGCAGTATTTTCATGTGGTTCTGCACAATTTTAAGCACAGATCTCAAAAGCTAATGCTTGAAAATTACCCTCTTCTATAAACCAATGACCTCCATGTACCTTAGGGGGTTTGTGAAATAAAAGAAACAATAAAACACAGTGTATCATTAATTACTGCTCTGAAGGCCTGAATGGGAAATGAAACCTTTAGCTGTAATTATAGACACCGAGGTGGGCCAAAATAGTAAGTTGTTCATTTTTAGGGAAGAACTCTGAATTATAAAGTCAGTAATTCTCTCTTATGTGGCGCAAATAAGCCTGTTGATCCTCCACAGATTCACTCAAAGGCCCAGGAGGTGGGAAGGTTTTGCCTGCTGCCTGTTTGGTTGAGAGCAGGATGGGATGGAAAATTGTTATACATATGAGCACATTTACTCCATAGGAAGTTAATAACTATTTGCTGCTGAACAGTTATTCATGCAGTTTTTAGTGCCAGAAGGCATCAAGTGGGTTAAAGAAACACAGCTTTATATGAGGTGTGATCTGTTGACTTCCCTTTGCAGACTTAGGGTATTATGCAATTGAATGTCAATAACAAAAAAGCAAACTTTTCAACTTTTTTCTTCACTAATCAATCTGGAACAAATCTAGTTTGGAATACCATTGTAGCCCCTATGATATCTGTAATTCATCTACCTCGTTTGTCCCTTCTCTTTGTGGATGTGTGTTTTTCAGATTATTTCCCCATGACTTTCCTTTGCCAGGTAAATCTCCCTGGTGGGCTAGCAAGCAGAGAAGCTTGCAGGCATGATGGAAAATGCAGTCTGCTCAAACTTGCATGCCCACAAACCAGGAATCACTGACACCTGTCCCCACCTTGGCCCTGCAGGTGTACCTGACAGCCAGCACGGTGTATGGGCTGGAGGGGCAGCTGAACAACCTGGAGGACGCCGCACGCAAGATCAACAGCGTTACTGAGGAATCTGAGCTGGCTGATCTGGAGGATCAGGTGGCCACAGCAGCTGCCCAGGTTCATCATGCAGAGCTTCAGGTGAGGACAGCAGCTCCTCTCGACCTGCAGGTTTCACACTGCTTTACCTAACACCCACCTCAGCGAACGCACTTTGAATATTCTTTTTGTACTGCCGTAGTCTGGTGATCCAAGGATGCTGACTGCATCACAAGCTGAGCAGAGTGTAACTGAGCTGTGTAACTCAGCCCAGCCAGATGCACTGTATTTCTTTGTTTCTCCCCTCAGCTTGGTTTGGACTTGGCACTGCAGTGCCTCTTACTGCAGTATTAATGCTGGACTGCTCCTTGCTGCCAGGCAGCTCCCATGGTGCGCTGTGTGTCATGTGCATGGCCCCGGTGAGACAGCACATAGAGTCTGTGGCAGTTTGTCTAATCAGCACTTTCCAAAAGATGCCACTGTTGGCAGCTTTCTACCAGCAAAGGCCAGCAGCAGCCACAGGCTGAGCCAAGGACAGAGCCTAGGGCTTGCATGCCTGTATGGGATTTAGGTGCTAAGCAGCACACATCCCAGCCAAAGGCAAGAACTCTTGTGCACGGTGATCTAGCACCACTCTAGCAGGATCCAGAAAGGCTGGGGCTCAGAATACATTGCAATCTGGTGCTAAAAGCTGAACAAGATAATGCTGCCAGACCTCAAAGGGCTGACACTGCTTGCAGCTCACTGCCCAATCTGTACCCAGCAAGATGCCCTGACCTGACTCTGTCAGGGTTTAATGGGAAGTACCTCGTGATTTTACGCAGTGGAAGCATGCTCAACTCAGGACTGAGCAAATATCTGAGAGCCTGACATGTCTCTGATGTCAGAAGTGCTTGGCAAACTGGCAGTGGTGTTTTGTTGGCTTTGGTCATTATTTTAGGGTAAATCTGTTAATGGGGGTGAGAGGGAGGAGGAGAGAGGCTTAAACTATGCAAGGAGGCCAATGGAAGGTCTTCTGCAGAGTGAAGCCAACTGTGGCTTCTGGTGTCATTGTGAATCAGCTGTTGGGTTACATGTCTGACTTCTCTGACTCGTCTTTCTCTTTTGTCAATACTTGTCTCCGCTACTCTGAATATCAGACTACTTTTCCCTGGCAATTTGTTTTCCATTCAGTCTTTTTATATAGTGTATGCCTGCATTTATGCATGCTTGTGTTTAATATGCATATACATTTGAACTATAAATATTTAAGATCAAGTGTTTAGATTTTGTGACAGAGGATGTACTTTGCACATGTATGAAATTAATTTTGAGTTAGGAAATATGTCCCACAAAGTCACTGTTTGAATGTAGCCCTTTAAAAACATAGCTTGAATGAATTTGGGATTATGCAGCTAAAGGTAATCAGGAGATAGCAGATGCAGGTTTTCTGTCCTCCATTCTTTTTTTCCTCAAAAGGAGTAAAATGCCTCTTCCTTGGAGTCACAAGGTAGGTTGGATTGTTCTTTTACTCCATCTTTACTAACAAATTATGTCCCTTTTAATGTCAGGACTAAAGAATGCAGGAAAGTGTCAGAATTGCTGAAGAAGTTAGCCATCTGTTAATGTTTTCTTATTAAAGAGGATTTTACTGGGGGAGGGTTATTATTTCAGTAGTGGCATCCACAGTAATTTTAAAACTTCTTTTCCCCCCTCCCCATCTGTCTGTCTCTCTCTTTTATTTTCTTTGAAGATTTCAGATATTGAGAGCAGAATATCAGCTCTCACTGTTGCAGGCTTGAACGTGGCTCCCTGTGTTCGCCTGACAAGGAAACGGGATCAAAAGCAAACAAACCAGGTGCCAGAACATTATGTAGTATTCAAAAAATACATTGGGGAAATCTTGCCTCTTTCTCTATAATGGAATTGAGTAATGCATGTATGTTGTTTACAGATGCATACAATAGACACATCAAGACAGCAGAGGAGAAAACTTCCAGCTCCACCAATAAAAGGTGCGCCTAAAATGTTCTGTAAATGAGAGGGACTCTCTTTGTAAGATTCAATATAATGTAGAGGTCAGCAAAGTAGGGATAAGTTTAAGTTATGAAATGAACAGAGAAAGCCTAATAGACTGTCCCATCCTCCTCATTTTCCATGTACTTGAATTATATAAAATACCCCTTTGTCACATATAAAAGCATCACCACTTTCTCTTCAGTGAAAGTTGTGACAGTGACAAGTAAACAAGAGCAGAGGCAGAAGGCTGGAAAAAGCAAATGAGGAATGCTGAATACTTGGCCTGCAAGAGGGGTGCTGCTGCTGCAGCATGGCTGGGCTCCACACAGCATGGCTGCCACCCTCCACAACACACCACTTCCTTAAAGTCTGTATTTGCTGATTTCAGTCTGTATGAAATGGCTCAGCAATATTCCTAGTATGTCAGAGGATGCCTGTGAAATGTCTTTATAAAATCAAGTGACTTTTTTCTTTCATGATTTTTTGTGGATTTTGGCTGTTTTTTGGGTTTTTTTTAACTCTGCAGTGCATTATCTCTGAAAATTCTAGGGTTTTGTTCACTGCACTATTCTTTTGTAATTCCACTGATTGACATGGCCTCAAACTTTAATTTATCTGGAGTACCACAGCCTGCTGGTTTTAATTTAAATTAAATCCAACTTTCCTCATACATCTTAGGGGAAGTTTTGTCTCTCTGGAAGCTGTGACACTTCAGAAGTATTTTTATATCTGCTTCAATCTCTTATGTGAAAAATCTCCCCTTTTGTATTTTTCCCAGGTGAAAAAATAGATGGCTCTCCAGTTACCACTGTCAGAACATTTAACAGAAACTTCATGCTTCAAGGATCTCTAACACAAAGAACTAAAGAAAGGAAAAGCACTGCCAAGGACTTAATGGTAAACAAATGTTTTTAAAACTCTGTTAAGATCAGTCAAATAGAGAGATAGCAGTATCTGTGTAGGCAGCTGTATTTCAGTATCTTCAGAAATCTTCTCTTCATAGTTTGAGGTAAAAAATAGTAGAGACTGCTGAGGCAACTCTTGAACAAATATGACTAGTGTCCTGGTAGATGTCTGACTATATACTATTAAATAGGAGCTCCTGAATGTCAGCTTGTGATAATGTAGCCTGGCTGCCAGGTCTCCAGGAAAGTGCTACCCATATTTTTTAAAGAATAAATAAATTAGTTATGCCCTGCATTTCAGACTTCTGAATCAGACCCTCACAGAACCAGCTGTGCATTGTAACTTGGCATTTCACTAATTGCTGAGAAATATTCAAAGGTTATCTAAGTTGAATTTAAGGGGTAAACAGGTCACACATTGGCTCTGCAGGGTTTGAACAAAGAGGCTTCACTCAGGACTCCCAGGACAGCGGTCAGTCATTTCTTCTGCAGCAGCCATAGAGGGATAAGGGAAAAAGCTGACTGTCCCAAAGCAGTCTGCCACAGGACATGTGGGAAATATATGGGTGTGTGAAAAGGGAAAGGACCCAGCTGTGTTCTTCAGCAGGTTTGTTTAGTTCTTCACTCATGGTTTTTTTCCTTCCTGTCCCTCTCTGTTCTAGGAACCTGCTATAGGATCTGCTGTGATGTACTAAACTTACTCTTCCCTACTGCCAATAACACACTGCCTAAGGCTGTACACTAGAGTGCCTTTTCTTAACAGCCATTGTGTATGTCCAGCTGAAAATGGACCCTCAAGAACCCACAGAGCCTCAGTTATAGGGCTTCATTTGGATACCTCACTGAGAAAGCTGTCCAAGTCTTCAGCATTGTGGTCCGCTACAGGAAACTCTGCCTTAAAGTTCTCAGAGGACTCTAGACAGGATGCTATGTTTCAAAAGCAAGGCTCCACATTTTAAGATGCACTTTTCTCCCTATCGATTGTACTAAAGTATGTAGTCTTTAAACTGCAGTATGTTTTTGTACACTCAATCAGTCATAATTATAGGCCAATTAATCTGCCAAAGCAGACCTGTGATCCATATTTGCTGGCCTCTTACTATTCATGTGGGCATCTGTCTTGTCGAGCAATAAGAGCAACTCTGCAGTGTGTGCTGCTTTTCAGCTGCGTAGAGGGAGAGGAGAATTTGTGTACCTCACTCTGTTCCCAGGGAGTCAATGGAAGTCTTGGGAGGGTTGGTAGGATGAGGAACAATTCTCTGTTCTCTGAGAGTACATCTTGCAGATTGAATGTTCCAGCTCCAGAGCTAGGGATATTGCTCTAGGCAGCAGGGGTGTCATGCTGAACCAGGAATTGGTGGCCACACATGTGGAGCAGATGTCTGCTGAGTTGGGATCCCAGTGTCTGGAAACATCTGAACACTGTTAAAGAAACCAACACCTTCATATGTCTTGTTCTTGGCAGCATTGTCTACTTGGTGGTGGCCAACTGTGCTGCAGTTCAGAATAAATTGTGTCAAAACCTTTAAGATTAGAAAAAAGAGGTGAAAGTGTTGGGGATCTCTGCTGACTGGTGGTTTAGGGGTGGCTGCAACTTGCAAGAGATTCCTTTCTGATGTTTACTGGTGTTTCTGAGAAGGAGGCAAATGTAGCCCAGACATCAGTTCCTGTACTAATCTGGAGCCACCAGAGAGTAGCTGGGGCCTTTTGCTGGTGCCAGTGGACCCCACTGTTACTGGACCACTCTTAATTGGATTGTGAATAGTAATATTCTTTCTTTCATTTCTTGAGACCCTTAACAGGTGAGTCAAACTAGAAGGCCCTTTGGCAGATGCCCAGGAGGGAGGATGCTGCTTACAGGGTGTCCCTCTCACCCTTTTGTGAGAGAACATTGCCATTTTTTTGCTCTGAAGAATACAAAGAAGGTAGTCAGAGGAGGTGATAAGCCAGTGAATCCCTTACCTTCCACACCAGTTGCACAGCAGGTACCCAAGTGCAGATGGGGTTGATGTGAAATATGCTATGAAGGAAAGCATGGGCTGTAAAGTTCCCTTCAGCATTAAGGAGTGGTGAACTCTCCCAGGAGCTGTGGGTGCCAGGAAGGAGAGTTCCTTCATTCCCTGGGCTCCCAGTGAACACCCACGAGCAGAGTGCCACATGTTACCTGCCATGCAGCAGGAAAGCAGTTCCCTAGGACACCAGGCCATGAAATGTCTGTGGCTGGGCAAATACCAGCAAAACTGGGCAAATTTTCTGACTAGGCTGGATATAGGGGGGTGAGTGGGGAAGACAACGAATGGCTGGATGGGTTGATTGGAAAGACAGTGCCAGTTGCAAATCTGCCATCCACATTTGACATCTAGCTTGTCAGTATTCTGATGTCCAGCTGCATGTGAGGAACTCTTGGAATAAATACAACCATCTTCCCACTTACAATACATAAGTGTGACTCCATTCCTTCAAGGATTTTTCATCTGCCCAAGATCTGACCCAGTGTCTTCATTCTGGGTGAAATTAAGCCTTCTTTTACTCTCACACAATACTAGTTCTCTGAAATTGGTTTGCACAGATGTGAGGGAAGAATTTGGCCCACTCTGTTTAATATATAAATATATATATAAAACAAATAGATTTTATTTATATATGCAATCCAGTAAAGGAAATTAAACAGAGTAGGATGCCTAGTAATTTTTTTGTTTTTCAGTCTCCTCCTCCATTGACTGTTCTTGTGTATGTATACAATACATTCCCAGGTTCTGGTTTATGCAGGTATGCGTGTTATGAAATGTCATTAATGGTGGTTGGTCTGCATATTCGTCTAATAAATAATAACTAATATTGTGTATGTAATATCAATACAGAAATGACTAATTTTAATAGAATAACTCTCTGGCTTTTGTTCTGTTAGTGTGATTTAAACAAGCCAACAAAGTTTGGAGTAGGTTGTTTTCCTTCAGAGGCATGAAAAGCAACTATTATCGTGTTACAATGTTAAAATATTCAGTCTTCTTTGACAAACAAATGTGTACTGTGTAGGCATTGCAAAAAAAAAAAAAATTAAAAAAAATCCCACCTGCTCTAAGCATTTGAATTTTTACAAATGTTTATCGTGCCAAATACGTGCAAAGATATAATTTACTGTTTTAAAAAAATCATAAAAGCATATGTTATAGCACACAAAGAATTATTTTGTCATCAGGTGATTTCAATCTTTAGTGTTAATATTTATATTTAGATTAATTTTTATAAATGAAAATATTTTAATGGGTAAAATGAAGACTATATGACCTATTTGATTAAGTCTGAGTGAATATTAAGCTTGCCTTGTTGTTGTTATCTGCATACTCACCAAGAATTATTGTCAAGAGAAATTATAAAAGAGTAAAAGCGATTTATGAAAAGAATGCCTTTTCAACGACTTGATTCATAAAGAAAAACAAAAATTTCTTCTCTGTTGTTTGGATTTATGTGCACTTTGGCCTGGAAGCGTGCAGAACCCACAGCCACACACGTGACACTGTCACAGCCGGGACACGGGCATCTCCACAGGGGTGCTGGGCTTTGCCGAGAGCAAGGGCACACGCTCGGTTCACACCTCCTCCTCCTCCTCCTCTAGGGCTGGGGTGGGAGGAATCCTGCTAGGAACATGTGCTGGTGAGTCTTCTCCAAACCATCAAGTCTGTTGGCTGAAATACCATCTCAAGCAGTTTCTCAGGCAGAATTTCTTGATGTCTCTCTGGGATTGCTACAAAAACTGAGCAAGAACCCTGCCGATAATCTTGGTCTTGCACTTCCAAAGTTCCTTGCAATGAATAGGGATCAAAATATTTATCAGCATATCTTCTCCACGGTGAAAGCATTCAGTAAAATTAGTGTGTTTTAAGTAACACTTTGGGTCAGCAGCTTTGTTGTATTATAAATGAAAGTAACTCCCTTATTATAATAAAAACCCATCCCTTCCTGACAGGCCATTTGCAAAAAGAGAAAGGGTTAAAATGTCTGCAATGGTTAATTCAGCCATTATTCAGTTTTAGTAGTAATTCTCACAAAGCACATCTAGAAGTGGAAGTCCATTCAACTTTATCCTTTGCAGAATGATTCATGTCCTGGATTTAACCATCAGATATTACCTAAATTGTAAACTATCTTTTTTGGATATAAGCCACAGATAAAACTGTATTATTCCTACCAATAGTTATTAATCAAGATGAAACACATTTTAAGTAACACGTCTTATAAAAGTAATATAACAAATTTATATTAACATGAGTAAATAGGGGTATTGAACTGCATCTCCAGCCTTATTGATGTGGACTAATGGAGTAGATAGTACATGGCTTGTGATCCTCAAAGAGTGACTTTAGCTGACTCAGACGATGTACTTGGAAATAATTACATTGTTTTAAAGGGAATCAGTTCATTCAGGCCCTTGCTCCTTTTGGATTATGGTTTATGATTATATGCAGAAGGCACAAAACTACTCCAAGGAGTTCAATTAGCCTTTTTTTTTTTCTTCAGCAGGGAGAAAATACTTATCTTCAATAGTAGCTCCTCTTTGTTCATTAATATATCTCTCCAGCAGTACAGGAAGAATTGTGGAGGGCCAGTGGGTATACTTCAGCGAAGCATTCTTAAGAGTGGATGTTAACAATCTCTATAAAAGCTACACACAGAGAACCAGCATTTCATGCCATTAATGCAGGTACATTAAAAACTGGTAAGAGCCTTTTTTCTTTCTTCCAACCATTGCTTTTTATTTTTATATATCAACAGCCATTGGCTTTGAAATGTGACAGGAAGGTTTCATGATACATTTAACACTGCAGAGTTTAATCCCAGCCCAAAAGCTGTGTGGGTTTTGGATAAACCTAACAGTGAACAGGATCGGGAGATTGCTGGGGATGCACAATGAAGAAACATTTTTATAAGCAGTGGTGGCACTCAGTGCTGGTGTCCATGCATTGTCTTTCACCTGCACCCTGAACATGTTTCTTTTTGAAGGTACTTGCACAAGGAGCAGAAAGAAGAGCAGGGTGTGATTACTAGGCAAAAGCAGAACTGTAGGTCTGAGGTGCAGGGGAGGACACAATTCAAAGAACAGAGGTTGGGTTGCCACCTTGGGGAACAGAGATCACCAGTCCTCTGTGTCCAATGCTTTTTGCTCCCACAAAGCATTCAAGATGAAATCCAGGTGTCTGTTCACAGGCCTCAGGCTGCCATGGCTGCTTCTCAGCTGCCTCTTCCCAAAGCGACCGATGGGGCGAACACCACGGCCCACATACCAAAAAGGGTCGATCTCAGGACCTGGAATTCAAAGCATTCTGTAAGGATATAGCACTGCACTTGGAGGCAGTGTTTTTCAACCATCTCGAGGATGTTAGACAGCTTACTTGGAGCCCAGGAGAAAAAAAAAGAAGGGAAAGGCCACAGCCAGACACACAGCTTACTGGTGCCTTTGAGAGTTACTTTCCATGTGTAGAGGCCAAAGGAAGAGGATTCAGCTGCAAAATTAATTTTATCCATTTGGGCTGCAACATACATTTCTAACATGAGCCAAAGGGCCCATCCAAATTTTCTGCAGTAGGTACCAGGTACACTATTTCTACAGGCTAACAAATCCACTGGATTGCAGAGGGGGTTCCTACATGAGAGGTAAGCATGAAAAGTTAATTCTTTTTCACTTAAGAAGTTGTTTTCATGGATGACTATTTTTTTTCTTTTAAAGCTCTGACACATGACTGATTTTTGTCTAGTCTAGCGCAGTTTTGGGGCAGGTCTGCAAAAGCTTGTAGTTCTATTAAAAGACTATATTAAAAAGAGTATTTTAAAAGTATTAAAGACTATATATTGAAAGCTATAGCAGCAGGGAAATTCTAAAACACACTGGAGATAATGCCACCCTAAGGAAATCCCAAATCGTTCCAGAGACAGACAACTGTCAGGAATAGGAGTAAATTGCAATTTAAGTGCATTATGTATATATAGCATTCCCATCACATGAAAGTCTCAGTCAAGGCAGGAGGAATTTCCCCTGTGGATTTTGATGCTTGAATAGAGGAAAAAAATTCACCTTGCCTTTAAATTTCTCCGTAAATACATCTTTTAAGTCTTTCAGCACAATGTTTAACCTTCTTTTGTTAGCCTTCCTACTCAACAAAATCCAAGAAACTTCACCTGTGTACCTAAAACCTGAGGTTCCCAACATCTCTATTTTTTAATGGGGAGAGGTGTGGCACTGACCCCACGCAACTTAATCTCCACAACCCCTCTCCCACTCCACCTTCCATTATCAGCCTATACTCCTCGGGGGAAGATGAGATTTTTAGGTGATTTTCTCAAAGATCTTTTGGATTGTGTGCTAGTTTAAACTTGGGATACATGGTATCATCCCAGACCTGGATACTCTCATTCTTCACAGCATCTCTGAATGGAGATACTTCAACCACTTGTATTTGGACTTTCAGAAAATTCACAGTCCCAGACAGAACTGAAGATGTCTGTAAAGTGAACTTAAGCTTCTGGGCCATTGCTTTCTTTTTATTATATAGAAGTGGTTGTGTAGGTCTACAGAGCACAGCTGAAAATTTGGTGCTTAAATATTTGATGTATACCACTTTACATTTTCTTGTCTATCCTTTGCACATTACTATCTTCTCTGATAGTTATCAAAAATAAAGCTATTTGCCTTGGCTAATTAAGGGCTGTGAGAAGGACATGAGGTTCTGTATATGCACTGACAAGCGCAAATGGAAGCACAGGGCCTCACACCAAGCTGACACCACGGACACACCTGTGTGATTTGCTGTTGAACTTTGCCTGACAGCCCAGCCCTGATCCCTCAGAGCAGCACAGACTGTGGGGTCACCATGTCAGGTGAGACTCATACTTACTTCTGTTGTCTATCTGGTGTTTAAATGACCTGCTCTGTCCCGAGGCAAAGCTGAGCGACACCAAGAGCATCAGGACATAGACAGTGACTAGCTTTAAGTGGTTTGGTGACCACTGGGCACGTGGTGTCCAGGAGATTGGATGCCACATGATGGAGCAGTGGTGGGAAGGCTGTAAGGAGAAGAGTGAACATGGGGAACACATATGAGTTAAAGCTCTCAAGGTGAAGGAATGTGTCATATTTAACAGTATGTTCCCATCTATCAGAGCCATTTCATGGCTCTAAGTTTTGTGGAGCACTCATGCTGGAGATGTCCTGGGCATTTCTGTTTGAAGGCAAAGGCTATAAAGTGGGCTATCTACTAAGGTAAGAACTGGAGAGTTTTCCTCTCCAGCAGTGAAAGCCTTCACAGGACACTCAAGTCCCAGCCCTGAGTTCACTGCTGATTCTGTATGGCTCTCTGTATGACCACAGGCGTTGGCCACCAAAGTATGTTTTAACCGCTACCACCAGCATCTTTTCTTTACTCGTAAAATGTGTCTAACATTTGTGTTCTACACACTCTTTTTACAACAAAATGCATTTCAGTATGAATGGCAATGCTCCTCTTGTGCCATTACCCCCTTTTTTGCCAGCATGCAGAATTACAATTTCCAGTTACAGTTTCCACTGGTAGATGTCCCAGTCCTGTAAATGCACCCAGATGCAACAGAATGAGAAATCCATCCTAGCTTCCATAGGATGGGCTGAGCAGAACAGAAGGTGCTGAGCTGGGAAAGTTGCATCCAGGAAGGGGAGGGAGCCAGGCTCTGGTTACCACTGTCTCTGCCATTTTGTACAAGCTTCCTCATAGCAGCTCTCCCAGCTGTCACACCAGGACAGTCTGTCTTGTGACATGCAAGGTCTGCCTCTGCATTTGACATCCTGGAGCCTCTGCCTATAGAGCAGGAGCCTATTTGCTTCAGCATCATGTGATGTAGATATACAGGCACAGAGGCTGTAGGAAAACCTCTCAGCTGTGCCTACACAGCAGCTTCTCTTCGTGTATAGGTGGAATTTTTCCCCAGTTGCTGCCAAAATCTTAGCCTGCTTTCAGTAAAGGCAGAGCAGGAATGAAAATCTTTGATGCAAGATGCTCCCAAATACACCAAACAGGCAACACAGCAAAAACACATCAAGAAGTTGGTTGTGTCTTTCACTAAAATGCAATCAAATCTCTTTCACCCCTAGTATTCAGTGAAGGTTTATCAAGGGTGAAACTGACAGTGGCTTACCAGGCAGCTTAGAGGAAAGTGATTTTAACTCATGATTTCAGAACTGCATATTAACTTTTTCTGACTTGAAACAATCTCATGACAATCAGGACTAAATTGTCTTAGCGTGTAGAATTCACCCACATGGGGTGAATTCTGCCTTCAGTTTCAGATGGGGTACCTCTCCTGTTGCTTCATTTTTAGCAAAATCTCAGGTTCAGTGAGACAAAAAGGTGTTTTGAGGCATCTCTGTGGTGTGTTTACAGGGCTGCTGACATGTTTTCCTGGTTACTTGCTCCCTGGTT